GCATATGTGTACATATTTTGATATTTTTTTTTAACAATTTTGAATTGTAAGCGTTACTTTTAAGACACAGTAGGTAATATGTGGCTATGTGTGTTTAATGCGTAGTTTTGCTAGATTTGATTTTGTTTCTTCATCTTATATACATTTAACACATACTGTCAAATTGATTGGTTCAGTCTAACAAGTTGTATTAATATGTAGTAGCATATTGAATGAGATTTTCTGTGATATACTGTCGTTTTTGAAGTGAGGATATTGAATTTGCAGTCCACAATCCTTTTCCCATCGTATCCCCCCGTTTTTGCTTTTTATGGAGGAATCGTCTATACGAAGCGATCATATCGGTGTCTATTGATAACGAAATCATCAGATGTTGTCTAATCAGACTGTGACAGAAGTAGATACTGTCTGGGTAATGGCGTTAACAACCACTGTCAAATGTAGGCTGTTTAATATTTTTTCCACTTCGAATCAATGATGTATATAATGGAAATCGTAATAAAAGTAACAATATGTACAAGTCACATCGTTTCATTTAAAGGGGTCTGAGCGGAAGAATACATATGTACTCTGTAACCTTTCACCTTGTATCGACGTTTCACCCCCGGGCTGTCACCGCGCATGTATAAAGTAGGTACACACTGTTACTATACAGAGGGTCTCCCGGTGTTTGCTTTAAGTGGTTGGATAGTCAAGTTTCCTTTCCGAAACATCGAGGTAAGCGAATATTGTTTCACTTCCTGGTCTAAAAGAATTTAGAATTTGTTGGTATTGGAGAGGGAAAATACGTACATGTCTTTAACATTGTACTTAAACAACTCATTCAGTGAGTACAGCAGTATAAGTCAGTGCAAGTTTTCTAGCCGGAAGAAATTCTGATGCATACATTTTTTTTCTCACACTCTCTCTGTTTTTTTATTCGATGCAAAATTACAACGTGTATGCATGATATGGTTTCGGATTTTTATGTGGAATGATCAAAGCCTCCAAAAATGGCGATGCCCATTTAAACAGCTGTTTGAATTATGCATAGAGGTTTGTAATATCAAATAATAGCTAGTTATATAAAATATCATATGTTATTTATATTACAGGTTCGTGTGCGATGTGAGACTTTCCTTATAGAATACATTTTAACGTCTGTATAATTTTTAGTGATTTCATGAGATGTCTAAACTAATATTCCGACGATCATTGTCTTTTATGGTGGTGTTCCCGAAAGAGCATCGGAGTTATTGTATATTAATGGCTAAGACGAGGAGCAATGACCTGTAGTGTTATAAATATTAAGGTTTTCTGCTGAACGTTATATTTCATATTTAGATCACTTCGTAGTTTAAAAGTAATATAGAATGTTTATATGAGAAAATGAAATTATGAAAGACCTGCCATAGTTGTCGATATGTAGCTTAATTCTGATTAGTAGATCTGCGATCATCATTTGTGATATTTTGTTGTGTAAATTTTTATGTAATTATCATCACGGAGTAAGATAATTGAATTTTCGGATTTTTCTTTTAAAAAAAAGAAGATAGTTGTGTTATTAAATGTACAGGTCGAGGTTAGCGAGAAGGACATAACTGTAGTAGAAATTTAACCAGTGTCATAACATCCGATGAAACCGCATACAGCCTCGGTCTTGAAGGGAAGTCTTGTTATATATATTAACAGGAAAACTTTGTAATATGTTGGACAATACATCGACAGGATACTGGCTCTACATATTCATATATGTATATTCTATAAAAGTAGGAACGATCTGACAAGAGACTGGATACCACAACAGGAAATACTACTAAATACGTATCTTAGACATCATCCCGATTTTAGACGATCGTCACCGTGGATGATTTCTGTTACTCTGATACATAAACAGAAATAAGATCGAAACTCTAACCATACAGTTTAACACAGCCATATCATGGTCACGAAGCGTTTGAACAAGCTTCTTTTATCATAAATACAGTGACATTTGCTCATTTTTATTCATCTATTTTTTATGGGGAAAAATGAAAACGATTTCCAATAGGCAGGAGATGAAAGACTGGACCACAAGGTTTTCTGTGTATAACACGTCGTACTCGTCCCAAATTTACATCAACTTTCATGTTTTGGGTTTTTTTCATCTGTGACGTTTTCGAGAAATATATCCCCTTAATGCTTTGGCTGTGATATACTTACACAAGTCTCCTATAAAGGCGGTATTCTGGACATGTTTTGTTTAAGATGGATGGCTTCAGTAGGTCTTGTATTGTATCTTTTAGATAAAGTCACGAGAAGTTAAAAAGACCTCAGAATATATCTGTGTCGATCATTTCATGACATAGTTGTAAACTTGACACTTAAGGCTGTTGACATCAGCGTCATGTAGGTATCCCGGGGCTCTGCTCATTATATTCTGACAGTTTGCACTGTGGAAATATACCTTGATGTGATATGAAAGTTTTTTGCCTGTAGATATAATTTTGTATGTGTTGATAAAAAATTATACCAAGGACGCAAACCATAATTACATTATTCTACGCGGTTGTCGGGGTTCAACGAAGACAAGTTCCCATGCCCTAAAGATCGATTCTGATTGATTGATTGATTGATTGATTAATTGATTGATTGATTGATTGATTAATTGATTAATGATATATCACCTACCTACCCTTACGCACCTCTCACTGTATGTAGTGAGAAGCAACATGGCTATCATTCATTGCATGGACTAAAATAATAACACGACCTTTCCATTTTGAATTGTACCTAACAAATTGCACCTGTTGACGTACCACCATTACGATGTGTTTTGAAATCTAATTGTATCTACGTGATCTGTCAGAACTGTCAAGAATTTGTATTACGTTACATGTATTAGGATGGCCCACGAAGTATTGCTATTTATAGTAAAACGTTTACATTTGTAAGTTCGGGACAAGCTTTTATTTTTCAGGAGTTTCCATATACAATTTTTTATCGTAAGAGTAATTGTTTAGGTTACAAATTAAAAAAAAATACCAACCTGTCAACATAATAATCCAAACTCAAATTTAATAAAACTAGGGCAAAACATGAACAGGCGAAAGATTTACACGGAGACTCCTGAAAAAGTAGAATAAGACCGGAAAAGTAATATCGTCTTCTGCTTCATGGGAGACACCCGCCATGTTAATATTCGTAGAAAGTAATGCCAAGTTCTCAAATAAAGTACACAACCACGGAATCAATAGGCAAACTAACGATTATCAAATACGTCCAGCTTCATATCACATAAAGAAATAGAATATTCTCGACGAGATCTCTTTGACGACCGAAATACTTGCCTATGATTTAACCTGCATCTTTGGAAACCCTTGGTCACGAGTCTGTCCGTCAGTTTACGATTTCTTGCACGAAAATCTTGATAATGGGAACAGGTCCTTGAAACATGTAAGTATCATACAATGTAAGTAAAATTCACTTTCTGTCGACCGCAATTGTTGGATCATTGTGAAAATATATTGACGAATATAATTTAGTTACTTACCGGGGCGTTACTTGGCAAATGACGTTTCCGCGTGGTACAAACCGATTTCCACGTATGATTTTTAAGTGGTATACTATTACCTACGTTAAAAAGGTGTGCTTTTTGTCAATGCTACGGTAATCGTTTACACGGGTAATTACGATATGCATTTTCTATAGTATTTATATATTTATGAATGCCGTTAGACCTGAGGCAAAAATAGATTTATGTGTTATAATGACTGATGGACAATAATCTGACACATAATTACATCCGAGCTGTCACCTTTTTCTATAAAGGCGAATTTGATGCACAGGGTTGTGGGAGTGCGGAGCTTTTGTGGTTACCATGACGACAGTTAGTCTTGCAATGAATGGGAGATTCCATTGATAGATATTTAGTTTTGAACTCTGGTCCTTTGGATATTTTGAAATATAAATCATAAGCGTGTTTTGGAAAGAAGATATGAATATACGGTCGGGTTATGTCTTTTTAAGTTCAGAGTACTTGTAAATGTATACACAGCTTTACGTACATGCGTACTTATATATAGTGTATGGGGGTTAGTTATCCATCTGTATGTAGTTACGGTATCTTCAAATATTTATTATAATCGATCATAAATGTGTAACCAATATGATGAACATCATTGTTGACATTAATTACATATTGAGAGAAAGATCCTGCAATTTTCTTGTGTTCAAATACGGAATAAAACTGGTTTTTCTGAAAGCGTAGACCAGATTCAATATGTGACAAATACTGCACGATTTGCATATTGATCAATACAAGTGACTCATAAGCTTCACAAACAATGTGCCTGTATGGTTACCAAAACCCAACCAGAACGTCATCTCATTGTTACACTTTTCACGGTCTCCTCGTGGTGGGAAACGATGACATCAAGCAAAATATGTTAGTAATACTGCGTTACTTTTTTAATGCTTTGTGTGGTTGCACTGTTTGAATATCATGCATTTGAAAACACGAATTTGAACTTTACAATTACATAAATACGGTAATTCTATTGAATTGAAGAATATGAAAACATAGAAAGCAATTTTCTCTGTCTTCGCTCTATATTTTACGGATATATATCATCTTTGATAGTCAGATTGAAACCAGAAGGTAATAGAAAAAATATTGATCCTCTTAAGCGATTATCATCATACATGCACCAAATGCATTCACTGCAGCAGTCTAGTTCGCACTTGGTGACATCACGCGTAAACCAAGTCACGCTGTTAGTTTCGTAACCCAAACTGCACGTGTTTGAGAAAGTCGCGAGAATGTTCGAATGCAATATCGATCGTGTGCATTACCATAATCGAAAGATAAAAACGAAGAGAGATTAGTAAGTTTAAATTCTGTCCGGCGGCTGGGTATAATAAAACGAACCCTCCTGATGATACCTGAAATGTCTTCGGTGTATTGCTATGTCACGCGAGCCTGATGTTGGTCACATGATGTGTACATGTACAGCAGTATAAACCCCAGTGTTCTTTTTCAGAGAGGGCAGTGGAATAGACAGGCGGTGTGGAACAGCTGGTGCCGCAGAGGGTTCGTGTCAGAGGTCTGACCACTTAAAAGGTAAAGCCTTTGTATTCATGAGCGGGTTTAGTGTGAGAGTTTCAGAGAAATGTTAGCTTTATTCTGATATTGAATGGTACTAAAAGAACATCTTTTGTAATTTAATTTCAAACAATTATTTGAAAACTAATGGTGATGACACACACTTTTCCCGAGTATATGTTCATAGTATTGTTCAAATCATAGGATATCACATCAGCTTTTACAAAAAGTATGTTAGGGCTAATAGGAAATTTTACTTGTCGAAGATATATCTCATTTGTGTACAATCTACTGAACACGTTTTTTTCTCAGCTATAATAGATGTTGTGATACGATCATACAATTCAGAAATCATTGGCACATCCTAAACGTGTATTTCTTTAAAAGTATCCTTGCAGAACCAGACGTGTATATCTATTTAATTTTATACGACCCCGGCAGAGTCATATACACAATACCATTTACACATAAAGGTTTTTTACGATATATATTGAAGATTATTACAATTTATAGCCTCTGTCACCAGCGATCCATAAATGAACAATTATCCTTCACTCGGTCATTTATTCAATTTTAGACGAGTTCATTGTTTCACAGTTTAAAGTATTGTCAATTAATATTGAAACATGGTTGCCGTCTGTATAGCACGTTTTTTACGATATGGTAGCATGATATCCGAGGATTAGTCGGTACGTGTGATTTTCATGTTTTTTTAAAAAGTTGTCATGCGTATGCAAATGAATAGGCATTAAAGATTCGAAAGTCATTATGTACATTGTATAACACAATAAATATGGATTTAAGACTGAAAAGTCATGATGTACATTGTATAACACAATAAATATGGATTTAAGACTGAAAAGTCATGTACATTGCATAACACAATATATATGGATTTAAGACTGAAAAGTCATGATGTACATTGCATAACACAATAAATATGGATTTAAGATGAGGAAAGATTGATAAAATGTTTATAATAAGTTTTATTCCTATTAAATATGCTAATAAGATGAGCGTATATTGAACACGATATTTCAATTATCAAGGCGGACAGGAGTGCAAATACCTTTCTTGTTTCTATGGCAAACAACACATATTTATTTTTCTACTTCCTGTCATTCAGGACCGAAGTTGAAATGAAAGACCTCGTTATTTAAGCTTATACCATCGGATTTAACTGTACATCCCTAATTTTATCTACAAGATATACATCGGAGCTTGCAGCAAAGTCATTTCAACAACAACAGCAAAAAATTATCCAGTTTTAAAATCATATTCTGATTAAGTACTTTGAAAAAAATGTCTATGATAAGTGGAAAATGACTTTACCTTACGAAAATTCATTAAAGCTAACAAGTACATGAATATTAACATTGTCCAGCCTGTGCATGACCTCGACTACTCGGGCTTATAAATAATATACATCAGTTGTCTGGAAATGGGATGACCAGATCGGATGACCAGATCACATGTCGTGTACACAGGGACACCAGGATCAATTACAGCGTGTCGACACAGGGACACGAGGATCAATTACAGCGAGCCGACACAGGGATACGAGGATCAATTACAGCGTGTCGACACAGGGACACGAGGATCAATTACAGCGAGCCGACACAGGGATACGAGGATCAATTACAGCGTGTCGACACAGGGACACGAGGATCAATTACAGCGAGCCGACACAGGGATACGAGGATCAATTACAGCGTGTCGACACAGGGACACGAGGATCAATTACAGCACGTAGAGTGCCTTGTGGGTTCTTATAACCTTGAAAACAATACACTCGGGGATGAGTAACAAAGAAATAGCAGTCATGTCTCACGTAATCATCTGACAATAAGCCGAGTGTACGGACAGGTACTGTTCTCTGTGTTAGTGATGGTTAGTATGCCAGCGGTTTTATAGAGATGTTAGGAATTCTTACCTCTGGAGAAGGGTCAAAGGAAGCAGAGACTTGTATCATTACAATTTATACCTTTGGAGAGGGGCCAGAGAAAACAGATACCTATATTATATAATTGTCATATTTTTGGAATATTGACATCCAGAGGTCTGATGAAGCAAAAATCTATATCGTATAATATTGACCCCCAGAGAAGGGCCAGAGGAAACAGAGACCTATATTATATAATATTGACTTCCAGAGAAGGGCCAGAGGAAACAGGGAGCAATATCGTATAATATTGACCTCCAGAGAAGGGCCAGAGGAAACAGAGACCCATATCGTATAATATTGACCTCCAGAGAAAGGCCAGAGGAAACAGAGACCTATATTATATAATATTGACCTCCAGAGAAGGGCCAGAGGAAACAGGGAGGAATATCGTATAATATTGACCTCCAGAGAAAGGCCAGAGGAAACAGAGACCTATATTATATAATATTGACCTCCAGAGAAGGGCCAGAGGAAACAGGGAGCAATATCGTATAATATTGACCTCCAGAGAAAGGCCAGAGGAAACAGAGACCTATATTATATAATATTGACCTCCAGTGAAGGGCCAGAGGAAACAGAGACCTATATTATATAATATTGACCTCCATAGAAAGGCCAGAGGGAACAGAGACCTATATTATATAATATTGACCTCCGGAGAAGGGCCAGAGGAAACAGGGAGGAATATCGTATAATATTGACCTCCAGAGAAGGGCCAGAGGGAGCAGAGACCTTTATTATATATCATTTACCACCAGAGAAGGGCCAGAGGAAGCATATATATATATATATGTAGTTTAGAATATCTACTTCAAAGAGTCAGAGGAAACGCATTAGCATATCGTAGAATATTGACTTTTAGAAAATGGTCAGAGGATGCTGATACCCAGGTCGCCTGTGGGAGTAATTTGATCGTACAGTTGTTTCAGGAAAAAAAAGTAGGTTTTTTGAATTAGACCTTTAGGTCAAACATTGAAGTGTATATTGCCATTTAATAAGGCATTTATTCAGAGCAATTCAGCTCGGCCTAAATAGTACGGATCAAATTGTTATCAAGAGGGCAGATAGTATTAATTAAGGAATTGATTTATGATACATAGTGATGTTTCTGTGTACTGTTTGGGGCTATTTCGATGTGATTATATTTTTCTTCTGGAAATATTTTACCAGTCTATCCAAGGGTTCTTTGCACAAACTTTTGTCTGGGAGACTTTAGCATCATTTAACGTCGCTCCATTTCATTACGATACGGTAAAAGTTGACATCATGTTCTAGTTGTATACATTAGAAGTCTTATGAAGAGCATATACTTCCTCGTTCCCTGACAGGATATTCTGTTTGACGAAGGGTGACAGGGATCACAGCATCGTGTAACCTCTTAAAGACCTCTTAAAAAATATGTTCGTCTTACTTAAAGGAACACTGTACTGACCATGGTCTACGGAAGAAAGATTGGCAAAGGGGACCATTGTTTCTTCAACGGGAATTACTTCCCCTGAATAAGTACCTCGGCAATTGGTTCGTTGGTTGGTTACAGCAGGAACATCTTGACCCTTTCTACATGAATATGTTAGTGGTTACAGGATCTCCGCGTCCGTGACTATCTAATTATTCATTTGTTTGTTTAATGGTTTTTATATCCACTATTACGACCTTTCAGTAAACGAGAAAAGATATGAATAGCGAGAAAATAGTATGAAACGACAGAAAAGAGTGGGATACAGAGATGAGGTAGAGTGGAGGGGGTATCTATCCTACTACACGTTTTTAACTATAATTTTGAAGAAGGCCCTCTTGGCCTAATTATAGCTCTAACTTAACACCAACTAAGCGCGTCGCAGGAAGGGAAACGGTTAAGGACAGAGAGGAAGCGGAAGAGGATTTTACACAAAGACGCTAAGATGATAAGTAAATTTCAATATGTTTTTGATATAAAGGAAGTCAATAAATCATAGATAAATAGTAACTACTGCTTATCTAACACTAACCGCTGGGCTGGCGTTATCACGCCTTTTTTTGGAGGGGGGGGGGGGACACACATTTGGAAATTAATCGTGCGAGGTGGACCTTCTCACACGGGCCACCATTTTAAGTCCTATCTGACAGATTGTGTGGTTAACTGTAAGTGTGGTGCGGGTTTTGATATTCTTTGGTTCCCATATGTAAATCTTCTTTCCATTTCTACCAGCCATTCTGTAAATTGTTTGCTTTAACAATGTCCATACTTTGACAAAAACACCGATTGGTTGGTTGACATGTTTTCCGTCTCCGCGACTCCTCCCATGTCCGGATATCGCCTCACCGACGAAAGTCAGTATTCTAGCGACGTGACAAACAAAAACACATATAGGGCTAGTCTTGTATTAACATTACATTTTGCTTCACGATACAACGATATAATGCCGACTTTTACATACGTAATGTTACACGTTGGTGCACTGTTAAACCTCGATATAACGCCCTTAGTATAATATCGTCATCCACACGTATATGTATCCCATCTTTTTCACGCCATTTAAAGAGAAAATGACTAATCGGTAGGTATACTTTTCTTGTAAATGTGTACTGTTGTGTCCACTACATGGCTGGCGTGCAAGTGTAACGTCAAAAAATAAATAGATGGCACAGAAGGAATCCGTAATGACGCACAGAAGTTATAACAGTCCACAGTAATACGTCTGTAGTGCCCGTTAGCGAAAAACAGACAGACACTTCCTGTGTACCTACACTGTGGAGACAATGGTGTAATATGTTTAGATTTTGTACTTTCTTTCGTATTGTGATTTAGTCTGATTAATGAAGGAACGTTTATTTAAAGCTGACGATACTTTTTTACCTGTACTTATCTGAAACCTCACTGACCAGGTGTATCCGTGGGAAGCTCATTAGTAGCAGGTGTTTCCAATGTCAAGGTTAAAGTATTAACTGCACGGGAATGATTTACCGTTTCTATATTTTACGGCTGATTTCTGTAAGTTATAATATCCACACCAATGATAAATACTAGCTGATTTTCCTTTTATACAATACAAAAATATTTTAAACTGTTAAAGAATGTTTAATAAATATATATATAAAGTGCTTGTGGTACTGAAGCTTGTAATGCAATGTTTCTGAAAAAGAAATAATTGGAGATTTTACGGTAGTATTTAACCGAACTGTGTTTTTATAATCCTTGAAGGTCTGAAGGTGTAGCAAAATGTGTGATAAATACCTCTGAATTAAGTACAGTTCATAAAGCGGCTTAACAAAGGACTTCCATCATGTACGATTTTGTATAGGGCAGAAGTTTGGAATTGGGTTTCAAGACTCTGTTATCGAGCAGCAGCCCAAGGGAGACAACACTTGCTAGAATTCAGCCAGACACACTGGCGAACCGCATTAGCATAAAAATGTTATATAATGTATTTTGTGTTGAAAAAAATCTAGACAAATTCGAAATTAAATAATGCAGAACAGATTTTATACGGTGCTACATTAACAACAATATATGTGATGTGAGACGATAAGCAGTTTTGATAAAAACATTTTCAAGAGTATATTGACAAGTAGAGTCGACAGAATCTTGATAAATCACTAAGAGCTGACCTTTGACCTTAGAACTCTGGACAGACAGATTCACGAAAAATTGTGATTTTTTTCATTGAATGGCAATATATATATGTATCTTTAGTAAAGCTGGACTTGGTGAAATTGCTAGATATGATTTTTTGTTCTGTTTTTGTTCGTCCTTGCAATAGATGACTGATAGAATAGCCATTGTCCATAGGCTTGTTTATACATCTCACCCCTTCTTACTCGTAAAATAATACAGTCCAAACAGACGCATTCGAATGTATGTGGAAAAATGAAATAACGATAAGTGTTGACGGAAGTGATCTGATTTTCATTCGGCGACTTCAGCATATATAAATGATGTATGTAATAACCGTGCTCGATTCGTATGTATAGCACAATGTCAATAGGGGGCACTAGGTACGTCACACAACAAACCTTGTACAATAACTTAAGTATAATGAAGGGCTTCAAGTGTGTCTGAAGTACATTCAGGTTTGGTGAATCACCGTAGATACAGATGCAGTGTTGTATAAGAACTTAAACGAGTGTAGGTAGATGTCAAATTTTTTGTTTTTTGTTTTTTTTGTTTTTTTTGTTTTTTTTTGAAATCTTGTGATTGGGACATGCTCAGAAAATGTCTTGCGCTCAGACTGTATACCATAGCGCCAATATAGCATTGGTTACCGGGGAAAATACTTTTGATTTTATATGGAAAATCCATCTGTAAATGATAATTTCTCTAATTCCGTTTTTATCTGTTTCAGGATGGAACGCGAACTTATCTTGCGCTCAGGAAAGAAGCTGGCGGGGAAAAACAACATCGACAATAAAAATGGAACCACTCTCTCCAATGGTTTTCATGATCACAAGAAAGACTCCGACATAGGGTTACCTATCTACAGGAAATTCTTCGACCAGATTGTCGTCCCATTCCTCCTGATCCTTGTCACCCCTCATGTTGGCATATTGTTTTGGTATACCCACCGACAGTGTGACGGAAGCTATGCCAAACTCGGCATGATGTTCACAGAGAAGTCATTCTTGTCGGGTATGTACGAGATTTGGTACCGTACTTTACACTGGCCCCAGGACGGACTGTGTTTTTACATCCTTATCGGCTACAGCATGTGGGCCCTGTTCCTGATGGCAGTCCTTCCTGGTGAAAGGGTCGAAGGTCCGGTTACTCCTAAAGGAAACGTTCCCGTCTATATTGACAATGGTTTTAAACATTTCGTTATCACCATGGTCTCTTTAGCCGCATTGACTGTCGTTTTGAAGCAGTATGGAATGAGCCCGTCCGTCGTGTACGATCGTTTTGATGAAATACTCCTTATTCTGAATGTGTTTAGTTTCATATTCTGTGCTTTCTTGTACTTAAAGGGACTGTACTCCCCTTCGTCAACAGACTGTGGAACATCCGGAAACCCCCTGTTTGATTATTACTGGGGCACTGAACTATATCCTCGTATTTTTAATTTCGATGTGAAAGTTTTCACCAACTGTAGATTCGGTATGACAGTCTGGGGACTTCTTGTCGCAATTTTCGCTTTAAAAAGTTATGAACTTCATGGTTTCGTGGATAGTATGTTTGTATCAGCGTTCCTGCAATTGGCCTACATCACCAAGTTCTTCTGGTGGGAAGCAGGTTACATGCGCACCATCGATATCATGCTTGATAGAGCCGGATATTACATCTGTTGGGGTTGTCTTGTGTTCATCCCTTCTTTCTACGCCTCTGTCAGTCTCTATCTTGTCAGCAAACCAGTAAATCTAGGTCCTGTGACGTCACTCCTGATATGTTTTTGCGGTTTGACATCGATATATATAAACTACATTGCCGACTGGCAGAAACAGAGAGTTCGCCAAACAAATGGCGAATGTCTCATCTGGGGCAAAAAGCCGAACATTCTGAGAGCTAAATATATGTTGGAGAGCGGACAAGAAAGGGAGAGCATCTTACTTGCTTCCGGTTGGTGGGGAATGTCGCGCCATTTCCACTACATACCAGAAATACTGTTGGCATTTTGTTGGAGTCTGCCTGCCCTGACCGAGAATATAATGCCTTATAGCTATGTCATCTTTCTCATCATCCTTCTCACTCATCGAAGCTTCCGAGACGACACGAAATGTGGTATGAAATACGGCAAATTCTGGGCAGAATACTGCCGAAAGGTTCCACATAAGATCATTCCCTATCTGTTTTAAGATTGAACATTGATGCTATATAAAATCAGTGGAAACGTGATGGGCTCGTCCAATCAAATTATTGAACACTTGTAAAACCCAAATCCAGGATATTCGTCAAAATATTAGGAAACTACAATGAAAGTTGGAGAGATGTTGCTTACGTTTTGTTTCATAGATTTAATGTCGTAGTAGTTATTTATTTTCATATTTTTAATGTTGTGACAATTGCTCTTTAAAATGACGTATCTAGAAGTATCGTAATTGTGTCATATCCGGTTTCGTTCCGAATGTTTGCTCTCTATCAGTCTGATTCCTTGTATCATAGTGTCTCATAAGAAAACACTACTTTGGCTTGGTCAGTTTTAATCATTGGTGCTGTGTGACGTCAGATAGCGATGAGGTAAATAGATACGGCCATACTCAATGCTAATACATATTTAAAAAAGGGTGTATTTTTCTGAATTCAAACTCAATTCTTTTAGACCTGCAAACTGCTTAAGATATTGAGTTTCTACGGTCGTGTCTTTTTTTTTTACTGTACGTATATTTTCTGCATTGAACTTATAAGACGGTGCTTGTCAAGTTCATTTAGTTTTTGAAGGTACAGTGTCATTGGTATACTTTGTCAAACATTTATAGACAATGCTCATTGTTACCGAAACTGTTATGCACAGCCATATAATCTTGCCTTTTTGGTTTTTTTTATGTTTCATTAGAGATGTGCTTTTGTACTGATTAAGAAAGTAAAATTCTCCGTGTTTTTTTGACGTGCAGAGCGAGAGAAAAAAAGGTTGTTTACGTATTGCCGTGCATGAACTCCATGACCCCATTTCTTAGATATCATTCGTTATGAAGATGTCCCAATAACTGAAAATGTTTAGGGCAATTAAAGGTAAATAAGGGTACTTCAAATTGAAGGATCAATATTGCACGCAAAGGTAAAACTTGTCGTGATTGTCGAATGATGATTCTGAAAGGGTGAGAGTTCTACTTACAAACGGCCTCGGACGATTCGGTTACATTGAATTTCTACGGAATCAACCAAACTGAGACGATCGATGTGTATTTTCTATGAACTTTGTCGAGTTATGACAAAAAGAATAGGATGAAAATTACACGAAAATGATATTTTTTGTTGAAGGAATATGAGGTAATGCTTGGATGTGAAACAGCTACTTTTTTAAATATTGGATGTCATGTTATATTTTTTTTTACTGTTTACCATAAATAGTAAATGTTTTTCAGGTAAAGACTGTAAGAATAAATATTGTTTATACATGTCATATACTTATTCTGAGATGCATTGAAAATTCGTTTTTACTGGTTTTAGTTTTATGAAATGAGAACAAATCACTAGATGCGAGTCTCGGTAACTACCTGGAGTGATTTACCATTCCATCAATCTAGTTTTATTAGTAAAACATTTTACGGATATTTGGGAAGTTTTTTGTTTGTTCCAGTCGTATATTAAAACAAACGGAACGTTTTTATCTATTTTATCATTAAGGTATTAATTTTCTTGTCATCTACGTCAATAAATATATGTACAAATTTGACCTACTGTTATGTTCTGTATTTTTGTTTTCGATATTTGGGAGATTATGTAACCGTCAGTTCACAACATCTATACTGAAAGGTTCATTATTTTGATGTAGCAGATTTTAGAAATCAAAAAGAAAAGTCAAACAAATACGCACTTTAGGCATACATAGCAACATATCATTTTATTTCGAGAAAAAACTGTATTTCACGTGAGAAAATCTTGACCTAGGTCATTTAACAATGGAAGATTGTGTGAACTCTTTATGTGAAGTTTTTACATGTTGTTGTAGTAAGGAAATCACATACATTGTACACAACAGCAGTCAGCCAGCTGTACCACGACCTTCCCCACGTCTAGTACTATATTGAGCCGACTACTACAGTCATGCCGTAATAATAGAACCTACTACAGACAGACTGTAATGATATAACCTACTACAGACTGTAATGATATAACCTACTACAGACAGACTGTAATGATATAACCTACTACAGACAGACTGTAATGATATAACCTACTACAGACTGTAATGATATAACCTACTACAGACAGACTGTAATGATATAACCTACTACAGACAGACTGTAATGATATAACCTACTACAGACTGTAATGATATAACCTACTACAGACTGTAATGATATAACCTACTACAGACTGTAATGATATAACCTACTACAGACTGTAATGATATAACCTACTACAGACAGACTGTAATGATATAACCTACTACATCCTGTAATGATATAACCTACTACAGACAGACTGTAATGATATAACCTACTACAGACAGACTGTAATGATATAACCTACTACAGACTGTAATGATATAACCTACTACAGACTGTAATGATATAACCTACTACAGACTGTAATGATATAACCTACTACAGACTGTAATGATATAACCTACTACAGACTGTAATGATATAACCTACTACAGACATACTGTAATGATATACCTACTACAGACTGTAATGATATAACCTACTACAGACTGTAATGATATAACCTACTACAGACTGTAATGATATAACCTACTACAGACTGTAATGATATAACATACTACAGACTGTAATGATATAACCTACTACAGACAAACTGTAATGATATAACCTACTACAGACTGTAATGATATAACCTACTACAGACTGTAATGACAGGACCTACTACAGACAGACTGTAATGATATAACCTACTACAGACTGTAATGATATAACCTACTACAGACTGTAATGATATAACCTACTACATGATATAACCTACTGTAATGATATAACCTACTACTGTAATGATATAACCTACTACATACTGTAATGATATAACCTACTACAGACATACTGTAATGATATAACCTACTACAGACAGACTGTAATGATATAACCTACTGCAGACAGACTGTAATGATATAACCTACTACAGACATACTGTAATGATATAACCTACTACAGACTGTAATGATATAACATACTACAGACATACTGTAATGATATAACCTACTACAGACTGTAATGATATAACCTACTACAGACTGTAATGATATAACCTACTACAGACAGACTGTAATGATATAACCTACTACAGACTGTAATGATATAACCTACTACAGACTGTAATGATATAACCTACTACAGACTGTAATGATATAACCTACTACAGTACTGTAATGATATAACCTACTACAGACTGTAATGATATAACCTACTACAGACAGACTGTAATGATATAACCTACTACAGATATAACCTACTACTGTAATGATATAACCTACTACAGATATAACCTACTACAGACTGTAATGATATAACCTACTACAGACTGTAATGATATAACCTACTACAGACTGTAATGATATAACCTACTACAGACAGACTGTAATGATATAACCTACTACAGACAAACTGTAATGATATAACCTACTACAGACTGTAATGATATAACCTACTACAGACTGTAATGACAGGACCTACTACAGACAGACTGTAATGATATAACCTACTACAGACAGACTGTAATGATATAACCTACTACAGACAAACTGTAATGATATAACCTACTACAGACTGTAATGATATAACCTACTACTACTACTGTAATGATATAACCTACTGTAATGATATAATGATATAACCTACTACAGACATACTGTAATGATATACCTACTACAGACTGTAATGATATAACCTACTACAGACTGTAATGATATAACCTACTACAGACACTGTAATGATATAACTGTAATGATATAACCTACTACTGTAATGATATAACCTACTACTGTAATGATATAACCTACTACAGACAGACTGTAATGATATAACCTACTACAGACATACTGTAATGATATAACCTACTACATACTGTAATGATATAACCTACTACATACTGTAATGATATAACCTACTACAGACTGTAATGATATAACCTACTACAGACTGTAATGATATAACCTACTACAGACTGTAATGATATAACCTACTACAGTCTGTAATGATATAACCTACTACAGACTGTAATGATATAACCTACTACAGACTGTAATGATATAACCTACTACAGACTGTAATGATATAACCTACTACAGACTGTAATGATATAACCTACTACAGACAGACTGTAATGATATAACATACTACAGACATACTGTAATGATATAACCTACTACAGACAGACTGTAATGATATAACCTACTACAGACATACTGTAATGATATAACCTACTACAGACAGACTGTAATGATATAACCTACTACAGACTGTAATGATATAACCTACTACAGACAGACTGTAATGATATAACCTACTACAGACTGTAATGATATAACCAACTACAGACAGACTGTAATGATATAACCTACTACAGACAGACTGTAATGATATAACCTACTAATGATATAACACTACAGACAGACTGTAATGATGTAATGATATAACCTACTACAGACTGTAATGATATAACCTACTACAGACAGACTGTAATGATATACCTACTACAGACTGTAATGATATAACCTACTACAGACAGACTGTAATGATATAACATAACAGACTGTAATGATATAACCTACATGATATAACCATACAGACTGTAATGATATACTGTAATGATATAACCTACTACAGACAGACTGTAATGATATAACCTACTACAGACTGTAATGATATAACCTACTACAGACATGACTGTAATGATATAACCCTACTACTGTAATGATATAACCTACAGACTGTAATGATATAACCTACTACAGACAGACTGTAATGATATAACCTACTACAGACATACTGTAATGATATAACCTACTACAGACAGACTGTAATGATATAACCTACTACAGACTGTAATGATATAACCTACTACAGACAGACTGTAATGATATAACCTACTACAGACAGACTGTAATGATATAACCTACTACAGACTGTAATGATATAACCTACTACAGACATACTGTAATGATATAACCTACTACAGACTGTAATGATATAACCTACTACAGACAGACTGTAATGATATAACCTACTACAGACTGTAATGATATAACCTACTACAGACAGACTGTAATGATATAACCTACTACAGACAGACTGTAATGATATAACCTACTTCAGACAAACTGTAATGATATAACCTACTACAGACTGTAATGATATAACCTACTACAGACTGTAATGATATAACCTACTACAGACTGTAATGATATAACCTACTACAGACAGACTGTAATGATATAACCTACTACAGACATACTGTAATGATATAACCTACTACAGACAGACTGTAATGATATAACCTACTACAGACTGTAATGATATAACCTACTACAGACTGTAATGATATAACCTATATAACAGACAGACTGTAATGATATAACCTACTACAGACTGTAATGATATAACCTACTATACTGTAATGACTGTAATGATATAACCTACTACAGACTGTAATGATATAACCTACTACTGTAATGATATACAGACTGTAATGATATAACCTACTACAGACAGACTGTAATGATATAACCTACTAGACAGACTGTAATGATATAACCTACTACAGACAGACTGTAATGATATAACCTACTGCAGACTGTAATGATATAACCTACTACAGACAGACTGTAATGATATAACCTATTACAGACTGTAATGATATAACCTACTACAGACTGTAATGATATAACCTACTAACCTACTACAGACTGTAATGATATAACCTACTACAGACTGTAATGATATAACATACTACAGACAGACTGTAATGATATAACCTACTACAGACTGTAATGATATAACCTACTACAGACAGACTGTAATGATATAACCTACTACCTACTACAGACTGTAATGATATAACCTACTACTACTGTAATGATATAACTACTACAGACAGACTGTAATGATATATAACCTACTACTGTAATGATATAACCTACAGACTGTAATGATATAAGACAGACTGTAATGATATAACCTACTACTGTAATGACAGACTGTAATGATATAACCTACTACAGACATGACTGTAATGATATAACCTACTACAGACTGTAATGATATAACCTACTACTGTAATGATATAACCTACTACAGACTGTAATGATATAACCTACTACAGACTGTAATGATATAACCTACTACAGACTGTAATGATATAACTACTACATATAACTGTAATGATATAACCTACCTACTGTAATGATATAACCTACTACAGACTGTAATGATATAACCTACTACAGACTGTAATGATATAACCTACTACAGACTGTAATGATATAACCTACTACAGACATACTGTAATGATATAACCTACTACAGACAGACTGTAATGATATAACCTACTACAGACAGACTGTAATGATATAACCTACTACAGACATACTGTAATGATATAACCTACTACAGACTGTAATGATATAACCTACTACAGACAGACTGTAATGATATAACCTACTACAGACATACTGTAATGATATAACCTACTACAGACTGTAATGATATAACCTACTACTACAGACATACTGTAATGATATAACCTACTACAGACAGACTGTAATGATATAACCTACTACTGTAATGATATAACCTACTACAGACTGTAATGATATAACCTACTACAGACAGACTGTAATGATATAACCTACTACAGACTGTAATGATATAACCTACTACAGACTGTAATGATATAACCTACTACAGACATACTGTAATGATATACCTACTACAGACTGTACAGACTGTAATGATATAACATACTACAGACAAACTGTAATGATATAACCTACTACAGACATACTGTAATGATATAACCTACTACAGACAGACTGTAATGATATAACCTACTACAGACAGACTGTAATGATATAACATACTACAGACATACTGTAATGATATAACCTACTACAGACATACTGTAATGATATAACCTACTACAGACAGACTGTAATGATATAACCTACTACAGATATAACCTATACTGTAATGATATAACCTACTACAGACAACTGTAATGATATAACCTACTACTGTAATGATATAACTACTACTGTAATGATATAACCTACTACAGACTGTAATGATATAACCTAACATACTGTAATGATATAACCTACTACATACTGTAATGATATAACCTACTACAGACTGTAATGTACAGACAACTGTAATGATATAACAGACTGTAATGATATACTACATACTGTAATGATATAACCTACTACATACTGTAATGATATAACCTACTACAGACAGACTGTAATGATATAACCTACTACAGACAGACTGTAATGATATAACCTACTACAGACTGTAATGATATAACCTACTACAGACAGACTGTAATGATATAACCTACTACAGACTGTAATGATATAACCTACTACAGACTGTAATGATATAACCTACTACAGACATACTGTAATGATATAACCTACTACAGACATACTGTAATGATATAACCTACTACAGACTGTAATGATATAACCTACTACAGACAGACTGTAATGATATAACCTACTACAGACTGTAATGATATAACCTACTACAGACTGTAATGATATAACCTACTACAGACATACTGAATGACAGAACCTACTACAGACATGTTGTAATAACAGGACCTTCTACAGTCGGCTATTGTCACTCCAGCGACATCGACGCCATTATATCTCATGTTCAAGTCATTTCGTCTGTAAAAATCATACCGTTGTAAAGTGGTCTATGACAACTACACCGTTAACATGAAATAAAACTATCAATATAAAAAACAACCCGAATAACCATCAAAATCCTGTGTTTGTTATATAATGTTATAAATGATTATGTAAATTTGATATTTAATCTAATTCTGAATTCTGTTTGTCTCCATGAAATGGTACGTTTCCATGTAAAAAAAAGTTTATCACTATAAAGGGTCATCAATACTATCATGTGATTGATTGATATCATTTACTGAAAATATCGGATAATACTGCCATTTAAAACCATATGAAAAGTAAAGTTAATAAACGATTTTGGTGACAGATCTATGGAACAGTATGTTATCAATCGATTTTGGTGACAGATCTATGGAACAATATGTTATCAATCGATTTTGGTGACAGATCTATGGAACAATATGTTATCAATCGATTTTGGTGACAGATCTATGGAACAATATGTTATCAATCGATTTTGGTGACAGATCTATGGAACAATATGTTATCAATCGATTTTGGTGACAGATCTATGGAACAATATGTTATCAATCGATTTTGGTGACAGATCTATGGAACAGTATGTTATCAATCGATTTTGGTGACAGATCTATGGAACAATATGTTATCAATCGATTTTGGTGACAGATCTATGGAACAGTATGTTATCAATCGATTTTGGTGACAGATCTATGGAACAGTATGTTATCAATCGATTTTGGTGACAGATCTATGGAACAGTATGTTATCAATCGATTTTGGTGACAGATCTATGGAACAATATGTTATCAATCGAGTTTGGTGACAGATCTATGGAACAATATGTTATCAATCGATTTTGGTGACAGATCTATGGAACAATATGTTATCAATCGATTTTGGTGACAGATCTATGGAACAATATGTTATCAATCGATTTTGGTGACAGATCTATGGAACAGTATGTTATCAATCGATTTTGGTGACAGATCTATGGAACAATATGTTATCAATCGAGTTTGGTGACAGATCTATGGAACAATATGTTATCAATCGATTTTGGTGACAGATCTATGGAACAATATGTTATCAATCGATTTTGGTGACAGATCTATGGAACAGTATGTTATCAATCGATTTTGGTGACAGATCTATGGAACAATATGTTATCAATCGAGTTTGGTGACAGATCTATGGAACAATATGTTATCAATCGAGTTTGGTGACAGATCTATGAAACAATATGTTATCAATCGAGTTTGGTGACAGATCTATGGAACAATATGTTATCAATCGATTTTGGACGTTATCTGATGTCATCACACTTCACTTTCGATTGAGCTACTGGAAGGTAAGCGCGAACAGCTACCCTTCTTTTGTTGCTGGTGAACAGTCGCTTCATGGTGGATGTTATTTGGATCCGGACTCATATTTACAGATTTGGTTTTTATTGTTAGACTGTCAAAGGAAATTCTACAGGTTGGTTCCTGTGAAAGACTAACAGGGAAAGTGCCGTCCGGTCTATCCCGCGAACTTGCTATTCCACTCTGTCTCAAATTGTGGAAATCACTTGTCCTAGCAACGTTATCTGCCGATCCACCAAAACGACCCCTCGACTTCTCTGACGGTTCCTGAAGGAAACTGACACCAGGCGTTACTGTGAATATATCAGAACAAGAAAAACTTCGAGAATCTCTATCCAAAGTTCCCAGACCACTTGATGAGAGTTTCGTAGAGGACGCCATCAAGGAACCGGAAAAATCGTTCGAATTCTTATCGGTGAATGCAGGATTGTCAAAGTCGTTCTTGTCGCTGGCCTTTTCACTTTGTGTCACCAAATCGGCGCGACTTCCGAAGAAATGATACCTGTCTTTGTACACCAGTGATAACGTAATTAAAGTTAAAACCAGGCAGGTACATTTTATTCCATAGCCCCAGGACATATGTCCACTCTCCAACAACATCACCTCTGTCCCTACCATCATGATTACAATGCCGGTTATAAATACTGAAATAAAAAGTAAAAAGCATTAACTTTTATCGTATACGTGTGTGCTTTTATAATAACAACATGATTGAATATCGTTTCAAATTTTAAAAATGTATCATTGGACGGTGAACATTTGTAAACAAGACAATCAGATAGGTCAAGGTGAACCCATAAACCAAGTACAATGTATAAAGTTCTAGTGACTAGTTGCGTAAATGTTCGAGAACAGACAAACTTTTTCTTTGATGTTAAATGTCAAAATGTAGGCCACAGTGACCTATATTGACCTATGACACATCTCCTCACCAAGGTGAATACATATCCCAAATAACCCCAATATTATCCCAAATTATAAGTTCATGTGATTAGTAGCGTAGAAAAAAGGATCGGACAAATTTTGTATTGATGTAGGTCAAAGGTCAAAATGTCAGAGTGACCTACTTTTGATACGCGACACGCCATTTCACCTAGGTGAATCCATATCCCTAGAAGTATATCCAATGATGAATTGTGTAGAAGAGGATGAACGAACACAACGCAAAAACCTATATTGTCCTCCGGATCCCGTTGTGTGACTAAAAGCACTGAATTTTTTTTTTACTATTGGTGGACACACTTGTAGACTACATTAACACACTTACATCTGTACGTCAATGTTACTACAGAAACTAACCAGACAGACGTGTGCTTTATGATATGATAAATGCCATCCGATACGTGACCGTCATAGATTGAAATGTAAATATAGTCAATGTAGCATTTGGCGTGTTGTCTGCAAAACTGTCATTTATAACGACAATGACTGTCATAAGTAGACAGTTCAGTGCTAAAATAAACGAAAAAGAAATTACTATCAACATGTTTTAATGGATTGTCTATTTAACAAGACACAGTACACAGAATAACAAGCAATACAAAGAAAACATCGACATGCTAATGTGATCCTAAATCAAACACAACTTCGATGAAACTTGAACAAAATATGAATATAAAATGAAAGCGCCTCCCAAAAGGGAGAAAAAGACCAGGAGTTCAGTTGGTAGATCATGTGAAGCAAATTAAATATCATAAACAAAAAGAAATTATAAATACTCTTAACGACAATTTAGATATAACAGTAACTCTAAGCATTGTCCGGAAAGGTCAAATCAATTAAGTCACTAATACAGAATATTAAGGTAGATGCACGACTATCTCCTTCAATATATACGAGTTTATTGGTCTTTCTCTTTTTCAATCATTTTCCTACTCAGGAGATACCTTTCGAAATGTCAATTACTCCTGTGTATCTCTCTTCAGACTTAGCGATGGAAGTCCGACCTGATTGATAGCGAAGTCAAGGCCATACTTATATTTCATCTTGAGAAGCAGACGATACTAAAAGTCAGCGTTTCAAATTTTGTTCTTTCCTTTTTTTTTTTTAGAAATCTTAACATTTGAATCAACACACTGTGCTATACATTATTGTACCTATCTCAAGAACATCGTGTTCTACATATGATGAACATGTGTTGGACTGATATGATTTTCTCTGCAAGGGTTATTACTATATACCAATGGACTACTTTTCTTCACTGCTGATTATCTGAGACGACGGTTGACAATAGTTTTTTTTTTTTAATTTGAGAAATGAGATCTTCCAATAGAAAATTGGACCAGACGTGGAGACAAACTGTGTCGCCCTCTTGGCCGTTTTTGTTCTAATGTGAGGTTGAATTAATCGAAAAGCTTATTAAAACAGGTTACAGTGACATTGCCAAAGGCTTCAAATTTTACTCTAAGATAGGGTGATGTGGTCTCATGTTTAAATAACGGGATATTTATTGACTATGTCCATCGTATACAGCCACCAGAATTGGAAATCAAGGAAACTATACACTCTTTTAAATTAGCTTCTTACTTTCCTACAACGAAACCAACATGGACAGCTTTCCACCAATCTGTATGATAACAGTGATGATTTCCCTAGTGTAAAACCTACTGCGGCAAGAAGTTCGACGTGTTATAGGTCTGTTCCCAATATAACGATAACCTCGTCCAAATTTGAAGAGACAACACCAGACATTCACAGCCTCAATTTCAATGTCGACATATTCACTCTCAAAAGAACGTTTTTTTAAAAATGTATTCGATGTTTGAAAAGGCTGCTAGACACATTTCTTAAATGTGACCATCATCTTTAAAAAATTGGGGATGGCATATTCCCATGTATACTTTATTCAATTGTGTAGTAATATTTGAACTCCTTTAAAAAGTGAAGAAAGTTTTTTGTCTTATCTCTGTACATATGGAAGTTTGTCAGTAGTATTACTAGAATTATGTCATTTTTATTTCATGTTCAATACATCCTAGACATATCTATAGTTTAGCCTCACAGATTTACCATTGTTTTTATTCTATCCATGCTGTCAGAGAGAGTGGAGCTTAATCAACATTCCAACAGTGAGTGAATAACAATTCTGTTTTCATTCTTAAAAAATCTATATAACGTATAATCTTCCTGGCGAGGACGTACAATACTGGCCATCTTTGGATGAGGCGTCATCAACAAGGCCATCATTTGTTATAAATTCTTTATGTTTGTTTTCTACACATTGCCATGTTGGTTTCCATCCACTATCTTTCCATAAACACACCAGTAATGTTATATTACAAATCACGGAAAACACCCCGCAAACAAAGGCATAACCGAACATAACGCCACTGTACAAATGGTTCGCGAGAGCTTCGTGTCGGTAAAGCACCAAACTGACCAGCGTGAAGGCCCCTGGAACATACAACAGACAGTGGGTCAAGTATTTATCACCCTTTTTATCTCGATATTTTAAGACTTGTACCGGTTCAAAATTGTTTTTCTTTGACCAAATTGATGAAATTATGTGGTTGGTGTACCTCATGTTCTGAATTTAATCATTAAGTCAATTTTCCTACTTCACCGACTGAACGTCAAATGATGGCGGAATAAGTGTGCCATACGGAGTGATTCTTACCACTGTGTCAATACTGAATGAACATGAAGTTGTCCATTTTAAGTGATGTTTTGAAATTACTTTAGATTACAAGAATTGATGTTACATGTTTGATAACAGGGATTACAAATCATGCTGCGACTCATCAAACGGGCATAACCGTTGGAAAATGCAGATGGAAACAAAGATCCGCAACACATGTGAGGTCTTTACCTAGCCGAGAGACAATCTGACGTCGATAAGGTACAGAGACATTGTCAAGAACTCTTTACAGCAAATAGAATTTACACATCCAGCTGATACACTTTCTGCTCTAGAATACAGATGACGTTTTGTTACTTCACAAGGTCCGATGGAATTTTCGGAGGATGTGGAGAACCCTAAGACTATTGACGGCAATCTGGAAAGATTTTGCGGATTTAAGCAGGATGAATCTGCTAAATTTCACATATCCTTCACATTTTCACATGTCCTTTGCTATACACTGAAACATAAGCAATACGATGACATCTTTCGACAGCAGTCATTGAATACAACCCGTTTGGGAGGAAAAGTTACTGTTCTATTTGATTTAGGAGTAATCACTCTTGCACTCTCTGAGACATGGGTCAGTTAGATACCATGACAGCTCGGTAGCTGGTCGTTGTTCTCGTATCGGCATTTAGTGGAAGGCAGGTGTGAAAGACTTAACAAACTAACTGCGAAGCTTTGTTTCCTCCTTGCGAACTCTATGCTGATATTAACTAGCAAAATATTGATACTTAATACCTTTATACTAGGTCGAAACATGTAGCGTTTTTTTCTCAAAGATCTCCCGAATCTAATGGCTCACCAAATTTCTCAATAACCTGTCAACACTTCCCTGGTGAAACACTTTCTACTGATTAAGCATGAAAATCATCCAATTAGGTTTTATTTATATATGTTTGGCTTATCATTTCCCATATGTGGTCTCTACATAGGTTTGACTTATTAGTATGGTTGTTTGAAGTTATATCACAAAAACAACCGAAACCTCCATGACAATGAAGTCTAACAATACACATCATTAAAATGAAGTCTGGTCACAAGTAGCGCAATATTGGTATGATTAACACCTTATTAACTGTGAATAGCATAGTATCAACAATAACACTTGAAGCAGGTGAGGACTAAGCAATTATCACATCTTAGATTTTACATGACCCGAACTCTTGGACTGGAATATCGTTGGCTATGTATAGTTTGTACTATCTTTGTCACAAAACAGCGAGCAACGTTAACAAAATCGAGCGAAATATGGACAAAAGAAACCTATACACAGAGACATCTGACAGAGTGCAAGGACAATAGGAACAGGTGTTCTTGAAGGGTGAGATTTTTTCAGGTGCTACCAAGCAAACAAGTTATCTAACGAGAACAAGAACCAGAATATCGCGGTAAGAATCTGAGGACATGATTTGTTACACAACTACATATTAGTTACACGTAATGTTTTATCAGATTGCTGTCGTATTGGAAATACTGTTAGTCCTAGTCTCCAAAATCACAAAACATATCCATTCCGATGCTTAAAGTTTAAACCAACCTTCTGAAATAGACAGTCCGATCAACATTCCAATCATACGTGGCTTGTATGATTCCAGTTTCACTACACATGCGTAGCCAATGAGGATGACTTCCGTGAATAACAACGAGATGAGGGAAATAGTCATCAAAACTTGTGCACCTTTATGCCAACCTGTCTCTGCAATAGAAATATTGAGATGTTATGTTTTAAATGTTTTAAATGTTGTTCATGGTGTATAATGCGGGTTCAGACATTACCTTTCTTAAATTTTCAAGCTAAAACTGTTTTGCGAAAAGGTGAATATCGATTACAATTTCATAATGAATTAGATAATTTTTCCCTCTCTAATCTTTTTTTAACTAAATATGTTCAACCTTTGGAAAGAGTTTGGCTCACACTTTATTTCAAATTGATATTAAGGGAGTTTACGCGTGGATTGGTACACATTTCGTTTTCTTTTCCATGATCCATAAAACCAAATGAGCTAGATCAAATTGCCACTATTCTCCTGTATAGAGTGAAAACGTTTACGTTTATGCATTAATGTGGTAACTTGCTCAATATACGGCATTTTAATTTGGAATGGTGAATAAAGGATTCCTAAAAGGAATGTTGTTTTGTGAAAATATCTTCTAAAAGATCAACAAAATAAGAGAATTAATATTTTCATAATTCAGTCTAAGCAGAACTTTTATCTCTGATAATACGGATATCCGTCCTCAAACACACACTTAAAGTAAGTTGCAAACATATTTATAAATTAAAAAACAGAGATTTTGTTTTATGAAAAATAAAGCAGCATTTCAATACATCGGAGGTAAAACTTAAAAGATTCGACTGTAAGTAAAGGTTTGGGCTATCTGCTTTCATTTGACGGTATTAGGGTTGAAATACTGACACTTATTTTCTTTATTTCACAAATTGTGGTCCTGTATTGATGTCAGATACACTGTCCATCCTGCCCCATTTTTTTATGATATAACCGATTGATGATTATGACGGCATGGGTTCGAAAATTGTTAATGTGTAAAGCTGAAGATGTATCTAAAATCATCATTTTGGCAACATTTGACATGTAATCATTGATGACTTTGAACGATTGTTGTATCTTACTGACTAAGCATTCGATTAGTTCGCCTGATCTCGTTCCATCAGACTTTCATCTATTTCCAAATTGAAAAAGGCCCTATGCGGTACCCACTTTTGGTCAGATGGTGACGTCATACATGCAGTGGAGGACTTTCTGAACAGTCAAGAAAAGGATTTTTTCAAGAGTGGCATTGGGGTTCTTAAACGTAGCTGACAAAAGTGTATAGATACCGAAGGGGGTTATGTTAAAAAAATAATGCATTATGTCCGCCAAAAGTCAAATCCTTCAATATGAGGCTCACAACTTATCGATCAGCCCTCGCATCATCATGTATCGTCTTCAAGAAGGTAGATCGAAGTGCTTGAACCGTGCCGTCAAACCATTAAGGAAGATTGCTTAAATTAAGGGATTTTCTATTCACTACTTAAAACACCAGCAAAACTTGACCTATCGGAATTACATTTCTTTAACCTTTTTTTTTTGCAAACTTCACTATAGTTGTCAGTTCAAATCGCTAATTTTCATCGTTTAAATTTCAGATTTGAAAATGTAGTAACTCTGTCTAAAGGTGCATATAAGTCACTCGATATTGGGTCTAAAGCACGTGCGTTTACCTGAATTGAACGAAGGGTGTTGGAAAATACTGTCCGAACACTTGGTTTCTTTGGTGATGTCGTCAGTCCAGCATCCCTGCCATAGTCCGAACCAGGTGTGCTTGCCCATGTATATACATGTTGCCCAATGATCGGAGCAGAATGCAATCACGTGGAACAACAGGTTCAGTGCGTATGCGCAGAGAGCAAGCACCGACCACAGGCTCGGATTCCGGTAAAGTTGTAGCATCATGACAGTTAAATTAATCACCTGGACCTGAAATCCACAGATTATAACATGTTATAAGTTAGAGTCATCTTATATAAGCTTCTCATCAAACTGAGAAGTGCAAATGATGTTATGAAGTTTGAAGAACAGATCAATCACGATTTCATCTACAGAAAAGCGATACTAGTTTCCAGATGTTTTTCTAAACATTTAAACAAATCCTAACACCGAAGTTCAGTCATCAGAGATTCCTTGTTACTTTCTGTCCAGAATTCAGATTCAAAAACGTATCATTGGTACAGCAAAGATGCTTGACAAAATGCCATTATAACGGATACCAAACACAAACGTGTACTTGACAAAGAGCAGTTGAGTGGCATGGGCGATAAGCAGATTTTTGGTTCTTGCAATGCTGAAATCTCTGACATAAATCGTTGAATGATTGGAAAAGAAATACAACGTTGACAAGATTCTGTTTAGAAGTGGACGAATGACTGCTGTAACAAGATGGCGCTAATCCGAGCAGCAATCTTCCGGGAGCTACTTCTACTGATATGTTGATACAGAATCAAGTTGACAACATCTAGTGGGATATTCAACTATTATTTTTGTCGAAGCTGCGACGTGACATTTTTGACCGTCAAATCTTGAGCTACTTAAACATTCTTGTCATAAGAGCCCCGCACGCTTCATCCGTGCCAACAAGAGTGTTCCATGTAAGTTGATAGCTTGTTTCGCAATTGTTGTAAAATGAATAAGGTTTACATCCATTTCTAGATAAGAAAATTTAAATGTGTTATAGTGGGAAATCACGGATGCACATTGTTACAATTCATTCTAACTTCTGTATTGTAATTTTACGTTCTGTATTACATGCATTATTCAGAAGACTACAGGCGACCAATTGTATCATTTTCACCAACGGATTGGGTATCAGTACAGACGATCTGTAGGTGAGCCGTAATGACTGCAGTGATATTCTGTTAAAGCTTGTTAAAACTAATGATAAATAATTAAATACAGTAACGCTACACTTGTCAGTGATGCATGAACCCTAAAACATTTTCGGGTACGCTTCCAAAGGAGGCAAGAAAACACCAAAATGTGTTCTTAAAGATGTTAGCAGGACTTTGTGGTTTCATGTAACCTGTCATAAACTGAACGCACTTTTTACAAAGTGTCGCCTCATACAAAGGGCTGCGCTATATATAGCTATTTAGTGCATGTAATTCTAGTGAACCGTGAATCTGCAACAAGGGGTTTCGGATGCATTTGCTAGGTTTTATTAATTATATCGAGTGGCTTACAAAATATTCTTACATTTCATACGATAGTTGCTGCTCAAATTGATTTCAAATCCTTCAACGTCCTCATAACAATTTGACGATAATAGATTAACGGTTCTTGTTTGGTATGGAAACGTGTAGCTAGTGTAGTTAATTTATATACCTTCTATCTACGACATACCCTGGTTTGTATGTAATGTGTACATGTAAATTTATGCAATATATACCATTTAAAAACAGCAACACCTTGTCGAAATAGCTAACCACGTTTCAATGTTAATGACAATTAAATACCATGTTCTTTTCAGTATACATATAAATCTAAACGATAGTTCAATACAGATTTACAATGAAATTGAATTTTAAACGTCAGTCAGGAAATAGATCGATTCCAGCTGACGTCTGATTCAGACTGTACCTGTGTTTAGTGTCCGTCTGTCATGACAATCTCATAGTCTATGTTGGAGCTCGTTGGACTCACGTAATGCAATCTTGACCACTCGGATAGCCCAGATCTACCCCCGTCCTGCTACATGTCGTCTGCTCGCTTCCTTGTCGGCGTGGGAAAGCATTCAAAATGGCGTATTGACACTTTATATTTGTTCACTGGAGCGGATCTAACTATACAAGGCAAAACAGCATGTGAACCTTTTAACGAACCTTACGAAAGGTGTGCCTCACAAAGATGTGTAATCTTTATGAAAAGTCACTAGATTAGAATTTGTGTCAAGGGCACATTGTCTCGACTTTCGCAGTTGGTAGACGTAACAATTTTAACCTAAGAACACGCAAAATGTATACGCGACTGTACTTTCTTTTGTTTCGTTTTTTTGTTTGTTTTTGTTTTTTTTCTAATTTTTTTTCTGACGATGAAGAATTTGATTTATATTATTATCTTCTTGTTACTGAATGTTTTAAAAAATTAATTTGCATATATCAAGCAATTTCATCAAAGAAGTTCTACTCATTTTTGTTTAGTCTTCGAGAGAAGTTTGATATATATATATATATATATATACATTTAGCTGGATGCAAGTAAATGCGCCAATAAAAATTACTTTATGAATGGAAATTTTTGCGTTGTATTGTATTTAATTTCATTGTTATTATCATTGTAAAATATTATCGTTATTTCATCGAGACGATGTGCGGGTGCCGTACAAAGTCGACTTTTTCTATACACATTTAAGTCCGTGGTAGATCTACAAAATGATTTCATGTAGACACTCATAGTACATAAATAAGAATCTTCAATATACAGTGGAAATATAACACAATTGTTACAGTATTGGTAGGAAAGTCGGAGTTTGTTTTGATAAGAAACATAGTTCTATCAGAGACATATGTATGTCTCTGGTTCAATAATACGAATTTGGTAAACGTGCTGGGCAAGTTTTCCTTCAAGAAAGGAGAGATAAAATAGTATGCCCACCTCAAATAGGGATGTTAAAAAAAGTGCTTCATACACGGAGACCGTGCTCAAACCAGTGACGTCAGTATGCGTGTAAACCTACTGGCAAACATCATAGAAGACAAAGATCATTCGGATTTCCATACATAAACGTCTACATCTTTTTCTTGTGATGGTAGAAGGGAGACTACTCGTACATCTTGTGAAAGTTAAAGGGAGGTTACTCGTACATCGTGTTAGTCATGCCAAAGTATACTAGCATCCATCCTGTTGTTAAAATCTTACAGGTACTGAACGACTTTTCAAACCTGGGTAACATGTAGAATTCCATGTATTTGATATCTAATTACAACCTGTGTACACACTGTAAAACAGTTTAAATATAAGCCCTCTATAATTAATTTATGGTGTGTGTCTGAATCTCAGCTTCTTGTGACGGTCACTCTGTAATAATTGCCTAAATACAATCATTGTCCAATGAATTTCGTTTTTTCCGTGTCCATGTAGACAGAGTAAATCTGGTTTAGCCTGAATTTCCACTTAATACATCAGAGGCAAGTCCGTCAAAATTCCCAAAAAACCACTGTTATTTGGAGCTGATAAAATTGGTGCATGGAAACACTGTGGAAACAAAAATAATCACTTATAGGGTTTTATTTATTTCTTTATTTGGGCATTTGAAACGTTTCTTATAGACATCAGGCAACACGTACCAGTTACATATAAATAAAGTGTGGCTAGGTGAAAAGATTATGGAATCAGAGTGAAACTTCCACTTTGGTAGGTATTCAGAGCTATAATTTTACTACCAATTTGTGATTTCTAAATACCAACTGTGATGTAGTTTTGAAATCTACACGTAAATAGAAACTTTTTTCCATAATTACCATAATACACAAATCAGAATATCAATGAGTTTATGACACATGTCAGAAACCTAAAAATATAGATTTCAGTTTGGTGAACAACATATGTACCAGAATTGTACATGACATTTATAATTAGCATAATTAAATCCTGCATCGATTATTACATACACTTAACATATATATTCCTGATTTAGAAAACTGTTTTGAAAGAAAATTGATTTGAATATTTGACTTTGACTAGACATTTTCCTCAGTCTATGAGGCTAAGGTCGTACATGCATTGGTTGAGATTGATAAATAATTTAAACAAACAATATTTATACAATGTTCAAAGCTCCATTCCATGACAAGGATACATGTTACACTATATTTACTTATCAGGAATATAGATATATGAACATACTTTCTTATCCCTGAGCATTAAGGATGTAATAAATGCCCTGCTATTCCAAAAAAACACCAAAAAACCTAGGACACCTACTTCCCAATTCAAGTGCAATGTAGCCTACCTTCCACAATGCTAAAACAAGCCGGTTTAGGAACCATATAACCATATTTCTAAAACCCTGGAGTAAAAGCTACCATAGTCTAGCATGTTTAAGACACATGCACCCTATTCTAGCACATAAAGGACATGTGTAAATGTATCCTATATCATTAACGACACGGGGCCCTGTGGCAATGTTTCTGGGGGACGAGGGCTTGTATAGTATACTGCAACTAGTAAATAGTCTATCTCCTCAGAAACATTGTTATGGGCTGATAAAAGAGGCTGATAAAAGAGGCTGATTGCTGTATTCTAATTTAATGAAGATGTTTGATATCCAATTTCTAACATGTTAAGAATGCCTGTAACATAACATAGAAGTTTGCCTAAAAAGTCCTAATATAAATTGCAATGAGGATTCTATATGAGGACATGTCTCACTGATAATATTTCTGTAATTCGGGATAATATGAATGGAAATGATTTTGTACGGGAAAACTCTTATCATGACCCGAGTTAAATGTGTACCATAATCTATTACCTCTACTGTAACACAATGTCATTGAAACGAATTTTCACACTCATCTGAATTTGGTAAAAATAGCATTTAAAATAGTCGTTATTGTAAAGGAGACTGAAACATCAGTATCAGTACCTTCTCGTTTAAAAAAGTTTTGAAAGTTGTGGTATTTCTTCCACAACCTGATCTCTACTATGACCATTCTAGATCATAACTAACTAAAACTGACCAGAGTTAGATAAGTAACTATCATGTATGATGTGAGGACATACCTTTCATCACCTATATCATCAGTGATGACTGTAAACTTACACACAAATATCTTTTTTATAACCAACAACAATAAAGTCAACAATATAACAAAAATATATAACAACCCTAAAATGCATCCATACTCAATAAAACATTCCATTTGGAGTGAAAATGAAAACAGAAATGTATGCTGCGTAGGAGTATTCATACTCTACATTTATGTGTTATATCAATGAGGGATCAGAAAACACATACTTATCAATGCCGGAAAGTGAGTTGAATATTGAAAATCACAAAATCAACTTGTCTTAAGTGACCTTCAGTGTTTCCTTACAACCTACCTAATGTGATCAATGCATTATGTTGAACGGTAAGTCAGTTTAAAATAGTTTCATTTCAATTGTATTAGCTTTTTTTAATATACCAGATAAAGCTTCTTCCAGTACAAAAAACTAAGTACTCATTCTAAGAACTAAATTTTAACATCGAATGTTTGTATCTAACACAAATTTTTGAGAAATTTCAAAAGCATGCTATGATGAAAACTATTCCTTATAATGATTCATATCAGGTAATGTAGAGTAGTTGAATGTCTAAATAAGGTTGCTTCTGCTGACAAATATTCTTACAAGGATGTTCAAATAACTGCCTACTAACCAAAATTTTGAGGATGTCCGAATAATCACGTACTACCATGAATCTAGAGGATGTCTGAATAATCATGTATAAACAACGTGCGCCAGAAGTTTTCAATGTGTTTTGCGATCCACGACTGTATTTTGTGACAACCCTAGTCTGTAGCATGGTTTAACAATCATGGCTTTTACAAAACATAATGGTATTGGTGTTTTTATGAAACATAACAGCATTTCATGGTAATGTTTGATAATTTGGAAGATGATTTTGATGCAGATGACCCTGTAAACATAAAGGTAACAGTAAAAAATAAATATCAAGCAGCAAGAAATACCATCTCCCAGCCAATTTATCCACCTTTTTTTTAAAAGCACACAGCAGTGTTTAAGAAAGACAATGGTAGAATAAAATTAAATTTTTTTTTATTCAATTTGTGTAAAAACTCAAATATGTTAAAAATGATTTCTTTTCTACACTGATGTGCAATTTCTATTCCCCTAAAATGCATAACGATTCATAATTTTCATTTTTTTTCCAAATTTATAAAGTTATTTTTTTATTCCAATAACATCTATATACCTAATTTGTCAAATTATTCAGAATTTTAAGATCAGAAAAAGGAAATCTATTACCTTGGTATAGGTCTTTAAATCTAATGACCTTTCAGTGATTTTTATTTTCAGCATTATTATCATAAATCATAAATATTATTTTTGTGGCAGTAGAAGAAAAAAAATCTGAAAATATGAAGGATCCATTCTTGAATAAAATTTGATTATTCTAATCAAGTATCCAGCCAACCTATTTTCACAGCACCATTTAATTATCAGAGCAGGAATAGTGCCTCATTGAAAACAATACATAACTATTAAACATAATGCTTGAACTGATGATAGAATAATTCTTTGTGGCTTATCTGATTTCTTCTTGAAAATGAAACATGTTGAAATTTTTAGGCAATAACGTGTTTAGTAAATGTGTTTATGTGTATTTTAGTTACCTTGTTAAAATATCCCTAAACACTGTATCAGTATTACTAGTATAGGTAATTAAGTATAGGTAATTCAAACAGTGAATCAGATACCTCAGGCATCAGTATCTGCACTATACAAGATTCTGTTTAAAATATTCAACAGATTTCTACATATACCGAACTATACCTGGCATTTATACTTGATAAATAGTTCATTTGCAAATTGAATAGGGCATAAATATTCATTTACTGCGTAAATCTGAATTTGGAATGTTTACAGACATGCTCAAGACTTTATCATGTTTACTTCTGTGTTTTATAACTATTCAAAACGGTGCAGTGAAACCCGAGCCAAGATTCAAAAACCTTGAATGGTTAATACAATGTCCATATACAATACTGTATATTTAAAGTAATATGTTTTGTGTTTGCTAATGATTGTACATATTGTACATGTAGATACTAAATACACAAAAATTCATTTAATATCATGTAAAAATTGAAAAAGCATTGCCATTTCAGTAATTGGTTTTATACCAGAAAATTACACCATGGAGTACATAATGGCAGTAAAGTGTGGTTATACACCTCATAAAAAACAAACAAAAAATGTACATACAGGTGTTTATCATAATGAGGTACTTTCACACTACTGAAAGTTCAAACAATTACAGTAAAAAGAGTACATATTCCTAAATAAAGATGTGTAACATTTGTATAGTTGTGACTCTTCTTTCACTATTTTAATTCCCTTTTCATATTTATTAATCCTGACATAAGTACATATAAGAAACCATACTTATATAAATACAGACAACAAAATCTCAAAGTGATGTCTACTTGGTTTTAAACCAAATAATCACACTACTCACACAATTGAGTTGCATGATTTCTTAACCTTTGTTTTGAAAATCAACAATCCCAACAGGAAGTTACTAGTACCTAGCATATTAAATGCAATATATGTGACATGTGTAAGTCTATCATATTAACACTAATTAAAAAAAGAACTCATGGCACATTCTCATTTTTGACTAGAAAAATGTGAAGTCACTACAAAGTGAAAATGTGAATACAAGATTATCACACAAGATTATCACTCATGAGATTCAAATATTTCACAAAACATTTTTTCTCCGAAAGTAAAAATAGATCAAATATATATATTTTTTTCTGTGTAAAACATTTTTTTAATTCAAAGAGACATTCTAAAATCTCATTTATGATTAAAAATAACATGTATATAAAGATACATCACAAACGAAGGAACCTTGTGTTTAAAGTTGACACAGTCCTCACACATGGTAGACCATCCTGGAATGTACATTGCTATTATCTCTATTTGGCTGCCACTCTCGGTCTCCTAAGTTTTCATTGGACTGTACTGGTATTAAAGTCACATGATTGGACTGGAAATGGTTATTATTAAATAGTATATGGTTGTGTAGTAAGTTTGTATTGACACCATTAGAGTGTAGTTCTAGATCTGAGGCACTTTGAGAGTGATGTAGAGATAACAATACATGATTCTTGTCCATCTCTTCCAAGTTGGATGCACTTTTTACCAATGGTAGTGTCGCAGCATGACGCATCGCCACATTCTGGTCATACTTCACCTGTGTAAGGTAAGTCATGCATTTAGTATCACAGCAACTACTTTCTTATCTAGATGATATCATTCTATGAAATATCTGATACTATGTCAGGAATTTTATCATGGATTAAATTTTTGTGAATTTGGCAACCATTTCAAAGTTTCAGAAAAATAAAATAGCATGATTTGTACGATAAATAAATACTTGTCAGTATGTAAATCTATTCTTGTATGACTGGTCCATTAGTTCTCCTGTTGATGTTAAAATCTATTCTGGTATATTTGTAAGTAATGTCCTTTGTGATATATTCAATGTCTAATAAAAAGAGACCTTCAAAATTTCTGAGACATTGCAAAAAAAAAAGAAAAACACAAAAATTACAAAAAGTATATTTTAGGGAATTTTGCAAAAATTGCACAGAGCAAAAATATCCTGATTTACGGTAATAAAACATTCTTCTGATAAAAAGGTCATGAGTTCTAAACCAATGAGCTGAAGATCTTTGTTAAACATGAAAAAGTTATTGCTAGACATATCAATGCTATTTTATGTCCCTCAAATGAAATCTTACTTCCCAGATTACACCTATACCTACTTTCTCATGTTCTGCCGTACTTTGTATTTTAGTACAAATACATGCATTATCTACTCACTGAATATCACCAGTGTTGCGAAAATTGTTCATTCTGTTAAAAAATCTCAAACTTTTGTGAATATTCTGTTTACATCATAGTCTGTTAATTTGCTGCATGCAATTAAGTTCTGCTAATAGAATACATGTAAATGAAGTCAAATTTACATCAAGAGTTTCTCTGGATATATAACAGGAATTTCTACCTTAAAAAAAAGACAAAACGATTTGAACATTAAAAATGAATTTGCCACAATGACCAATTACAGGCTGTCCAGCACTTCTTGACAAAAAATTAGGGCTAATTTTAGGGCTAAAATTACAAAATTTTAGGGCAAATTTAGGGCTAAAATTACCATGGTAGGAATTTTGTAACTAGAATAGGGAGTATGAAAGCATTAAACTGACTTACCTTTGCAAATTTGACAAAATAGAAACTAACATACAATGCCTTAATTAAAGGAAAGGTGTCTTCCAGGGTTTCAGTGTCCCAGCTGCTGTTGGCTGTGACCTTAAGAATAACACCTCTGTCACTCAGTCACAACTAATAACAATCTGGGTACATAGATCCACTGGTCAACTGCCTTTCATTGTCTACCCTGAATTAGAACTACAGACTACATTAAAATATATTTTAAGTATGAATTTAATGAAAATATTTTCAGTAAATTCAAAGCAATATAAAAAAGTAAGAATTAAAGTGAAAAATTAGGGCTTTTTTAGGAATTCCTTTTGAATGTTTCAATTTTTTTAGGAATTTTAGCAAAACTGAAAAAAATTAGGATTTTTTAGGAATTTTAGGGATGCTGGACAGCCAGCAATTAATTATTTGCTTCATATTTTACCTTGTTGTAAGTGAGAACACCAAATACAGCGATGGCCATTCCCAGTAGGTTCATGGGTGTGACTGGGTTACGAAGGAAGAACAGGGAGGCCCCAATTATTACTATCCGTTTTGTAGCATTGGCCACAGCGTAACTAAGGGGTGCCACCATAGCGATGACAGTGAAGGCAAACACATTCTGCAGCATGCTGAAGAATCCGTCCACCAGGAGGAGAAGTACACAGTATCCTATCCTTCCTTCATTTAACTTAAAGACAAAACAAGATTGTGTCATCAAACTAGTGTGCTACAATACCAGATTGTCAATCAACATCACTACTTTTTCAGTTAGTTGTGAAAATAAATGAACATGCGTAATCTGGTAAAATATCTATTCTGGCTGGTACAAGTACAAATACACTTTCAGTATGGTATGAATATATATTCTGGAAGATACCAAATACGATGATAAATCTGGAAAAATACATGTTAATTAAACATAGCAAAATGAAAGTAGATGTTCTACCTTGTAAAATGTATACTTGGTTTGGTAATATATACCTTCAGTTGCAATAAAAACACAAATGTACTGGTTCAATCAACAATTATCCTGATAAAATGTAGGCTTAAACTGGTAAAATACACCATCATTCTGATAAAATGTAGGCTAAAACTGGTAAAATACACCATCATTCTGATAACATGTAGGCTAAAACTGGTAAAATACACCATCATTCTGATAACATGTAGGCTTAAACTGGTAAAATACACCATCATTCTGATAAAATGTAGGCTAAAACTGGTAAAATACACCATCATTCTGATAACATGTAGGCTCAAACTGGTAAAATACACCATCAATCTGATAACATGTAGGCTTAAACTGGTAAAATACACCATCATTCTGATAACATGTAGGCTCAAACTGGTAAAATACACCATCATTCTTATAAAATGTAGGCTCAAACTGGTAAAATACACCATCATTCTGATAAAATGTAGGCTAAAACTGGTAAAATACACCATCATTCTGATAAAATGTAGGCTCAAACTGGTAAAATACACCATCATTCTGATAACATGTAGGCTCAAACTGGTAAAATACACCATCATTCTGATAAAATGTAGGCTCAAACTGGTAAAATACACCATCAATCTGATAAAATGTAGGCTCAAACTGGTAAAATACACCATCAATCTGATAACATGTAGGCTCAAACTGGTAAAATACACCATCATTCTGATAAAATGTAGGCTTAAACTGGTAAAATACACCATCATTCTGATAAAATGTAGGCTTAAACTGGTAAAATACACCATCATTCTGATAAAATGTAGGCTAAAACTGGTAAAATACACCATCATTCTGATAACATGTAGGCTCAAACTGGTAAAATACACCATCATTCTGATAACATGTAGGCTCAAACTGGTAAAATACACCATCATTCTGATAAAATGTAGGCTCAAACTGGTAAAATACACCATCATTCTGATAAAATGTAGGCTCAAACTGGTAAAATACACCATCATTCTGATAACATGTAGGCTAAAACTGGTAAAATACACCATCATTCTGATAACATGTAGGCTAAAACTGGTAAAATACACCATCATTCTGATAACATGTAGGCTCAAACTGGTAAAATACACCATCATTCTGATAACATGTAGGCTCAAACTGGTAAAATACACCATCATTCTGATAAAATGTAGGCTCAAACTGGTAAAATACACCATCATTCTGATAAAATGTAGGCTTAAACTGGTAAAATACACCATCATTCTGATAAAATGTAGGCTCAAACTGGTAAAATACACCATCATTCTGATAAAATGTAGGCTCAAACTCAAACTGGTAAAATACACCATCTGATTCTGATAGGCTAAAACTGGTAAAATACACCATCATTCTGATCAAAATGCTAAAACTGGTAAAATACACCATCATTCTGATAAAATGTAGGCTGGTAAAATAACCATCATTCTTATAAAATGTAGGCTCAAACTGGTAAAATACACCATCATTCTGATAAAATGTAGGCTCAAACTGGTAAAATACACCATCATTCTGATAAAATGTAGGCTAAAACTGGTAAAATACACCATCATTCTGATAACATGTAGGCTAAAACTGGTAAAATACACCATCAATCTGATAACATGTAGGCTAAAACTGGTAAAATACACCATCATTCTTATAAAATGTAGGCTCAAACTGGTAAAATACACCATCATTCTGATAACATGTAGGCTAAAACTGGTAAAATACACCATCAATCTGATAACATGTAGGCTCAAACTGGTAAAATACACCATCATTCTTATAAAATGTAGGCTCAAACTGGTAAAATACACCATCATTCTGATAACATGTAGGCTTAAACTGGTAAAATACACCATCATTCTGATAACATGTAGGCTCAAACTGGTAAAATACACCATCATTCTGATAAAATGTAGGCTCAAACTGGTAAAATACACCATCAATCTGATAAAATGTAGGCTAAAACTGGTAAAATACACCATCATTCTGATAACATGTAGGCTAAAACTGGTAAAATACACCATCAATCTGATAACATGTAGGCTCAAACTGGTAAAATACACCATCATTCTGATAAAATGTAGGCTCAAACTGGTAAAATACACCATCATTCTGATAACATGTAGGCTCAAACTGGTAAAATACACCATCATTCTGATAACATGTAGGCTCAAACTGGTAAAATACACCATCATTCTGATAACATGTAGGCTAAAACTGGTAAAATACACCATCATAGGCTCAAACTGGTAAAATCTGATAACATGTAGGCTCAAACTGGTAAAATACACCATCATTCTGATAACATGTAGGCTCAAACTGGTAAAATATTCTGATAACACTCAAACATACACCATTCTGATTACATGTAGGCTAAAACTGGTAAAATACACCATCAATCTGATAACATGTAGGCTCAAACTGGTAAAATACACCATCAATCTGATAACATGTAGGCTCAAACTGGTAAAATACACCATCATTCTTATAACTGGTAAAATACACCATCATTCTTATAACATGTAGGCTCAAACTGGTAAAATACATCCATCATTCTGATAGGCTCAAACTGGTAAAATACACCATCATTCTGATAAAATGTAGGCTTAAACTGGTAAAATACACCATCATTCTGATAAAATATAGGCTAAAACTGGTAAAATACACCATCATTCTGATAACATGTAGGCTCAAACTGGTAAAATACACCATCATTCTGATAACATGTAGGCTCAAACTGGTAAAATACACCATCATTCTGATAACATGTAGGCTCAAACTGGTAAAATACACCATCATTCTGATAACATGTAGGCTCAAACTGGTAAAATACACCATCAATCTGATAACATGTAGGCTCAAACTGGTAAAATACACCATCATTCTGATAAAATGTAGGCTAAAACTGGTAAAATACACCATCATTCTGATAACATGTAGGCTTAAACTGGTAAAATACACCATCATTCTGATAACATGTAGGCTTAAACTGGTAAAATACACCATCAATCCGATAACATGTAGGCTCAAACTGGTAAAATACACCATCATTCTGATAACATGTAGGCTTAAACTGGTAAAATACACCATCATTCTGATAACATGTAGGCTCAAACTGGTAAAATACACCATCATTCTGATAACATGTAGGCTCAAACTGGTAAAATACACCATCAATCCGATAACATGTAGGCTCAAACTGGTAAAATACACCATCATTCTGATAAAATGTAGGCTAAAACTGGTAAAATGCACCATCATTCTGATAAAATGTAGGCTCAAACTGGTGATATATACCATGTCCCAAAACTGAAAAATCAGGTAAAAATATTTTTTTGGACAAACAGGATTTTGTATGTAAGTCTGTAATGGCTAAGAAAACAAACCAGCAATTAATCTTAGTTTTATTTAAAATACAGGTAAATTTAGCACTACATACCACTATAATATAATGTACATTTTATATAATTATACAATTATACTTACAACAAAATTTAACTTGGAAGGATGTGATATAGTATACATTTTATGTTCAACTATACAGTTCAGGACATAACTATAGAAATCAATGAAACCAATAAATTTACACAATTCAAAATAAAACGAAATCAGTCCATGTGCAACAGGTATGTGGTTCTGATGTAGTTGATGTTGTTTTGTAGGAGAGTTTTCAGTCCTCCAAGGCCTTGAACCAGCAGTCCTCGATGTGATGTGGTGGTAGTGGAAGAACAGCGACTCAGCGAATATTTTAACAAAATCTCTTCTTTCTAATATCCTATTTAAATTATTTTATTTAATTTATATTAATTATTCATACATGCATACATATTAGTTAACGTTATAATAATATTTGTATTTGATTTTTTCTAAATGTTTCAAATAGCTTTATGGTTTACATGTGTATAAAATTTTGGACAAATTTTTTACCTGTTAAAACAACACACACAGGTACCTTAAATGTTATAACAACACACTGCCCTATTTGTGTACATAATGTTTTTGGGACAAACAGGACATAGATTTTTTCAGTTTTGGGACAAACAGGATTAAACCGGTAAAATACACTGTACATGTTCAGAATGGTAAATGAGTCCATTGAAAAGGATGCAGCACACTATGTTTTGACAAGATGTACTCTGTCATGTAGAGATTGTGGTACTTTCTACACAGTAAAATATTTCTATTGTTATATTGTTAAATTAACAAGATGTGCTAAGAGTAGAGCCAACACCGTAGTACCATCAATTGAGGCGTCAAGGTTGTTTGCCTTTAGCCTGGATACCCAAAGGTATGCAGGGGATTGATGAGAAGGGGTGAGCTTAAATATATCAGAATCAATCCAACAGACGAACCCGCCTCTAGTCTGTTGGATTGATTCTGATATATTGTTATATTAAGTTACTTCATTGTCTAAAGTGTGTAGTCTTTTATGAAACTGTTCTACAGTTTACCACAATGAAAAGCGTAGCCGAATTGACTACAGTGCATTGTTACCGTCTGGTGTACTTTTTTGGTCTATAATCTGTTTACCATCTCATCACACTATTTTCAATCTTAGTGTACATAGGATTATAGTTCAGCCGAAAAAGTTGGTAGATTCTGTACCAGACACAACGTACAACAGTGCTATTATGCTCCACACTGGTCATGTGTCTGGTGATTGTGACCATGTAGTCATTGAAACGTCACACTCTTATCTTCTAATGGTTGTGTTATAACAACTTCTATTCTATTGACATTACCACGCATTACCACAATACAATGAAATTTATGATTTGCTAAAGTGTTATGTGACTTCTCGTTGGTCAACTGAAACACAGTGATGACATTATAGACAAGTTTACTAACCAGCATGAAATAATAGTTTCAAAATCAGGATGAAAACTAACTATGTAAACTTATTTATCTGTAGGAATGTTTTGTCAGCAACCCACTGGAACTCTTTTGTCAGTGGAAAGACAATCTAATGCCACTCAACATAAAACAAGTCAACTAAAATAACTTGTGAATTCTTACCAAATCATGGTGAGCATAGATTCTTCTGAGATCAAAGAGAGCCCACATTGGGAAGAAGCAGATGGCAGCCAGGCGACATATTGTCACATATAAGTATAGATGGTGTAATCCCGTCTCCTTTAAACACTGCAAGAAACAAGTAAAATGAAGGAAGCCACAAGTACATACAGAGCCTAGTTTTATAAAGGATGTCACATTACATGATTAGAAAAGCTAAAATATACAGTTTCTGTGTTTGTTTGTTTTAAATGAATTATGCTATTTACAGATGCTAAAGACTACTGTGTGGCCCCGTATGGTAGCACTATGTTTGCAGGAGATAGAGCTGAACATACGAGTCTGTCAGACAATCAATTTAACATGTGTCAGTATCAGAGAGAAAGATTCAGTATCATAAGATTGGCGAATCTGAATTTCCAGCTCTACTGTGTCTAATGTCTGTACAAGTTATCAGATAATCACAATTTCTGACTCAAACACTGCACCAAAAAAGGATAATCTGCTCAGTCTCCCCAATACACCACTAACCATCATCTGTTATTCGTATATATTGATTTACCTATACACCATAGTATGCTAGCTGTCGACAACATTTGATCTACATATTGGTACAAGAGAAAATCACAAAAGTAGAAATATTCATATCTTTTGTTCTCTCCTAGGCTTATGGCTAGGAATGTCTTATTGCCTTGTGTAATAGAATTATCTTAATATATATATATCCTGTTATAAGGGACTTACATTGGTGACAGGTGTTTTTACTGGAGGAGACTTAAAAGTTCACACACTGCAAGCAGCTTATAATTCAAGGGGTTTGACCAGTAATTTCCATTCATAAAATAGAGTCACCTTGTGTAATTATGTTTGTTTTCTGGGGAATGATTAACAAACTCGATACCTGTAACTGAACCAAAAACTCTCCATCAATGATCCCATGTTACCGAATTAATTAATGTTAATACTCATACAACTAGGTAATGTACAATAGAGCTGTAACACTTGTCTACTGATCCTGGAGTTTTTCATCACAGTCCAGCTAACTTGTTCATCCCAAAAGTGTGCATGGGATAAATGAGATATCTTAGTATCTCATGAAAGATAATCTTCATGTGCTTAAAACAAAAGTAATGACTAGCAGGAAAATCCAATTGTTCAACAAGATAATACATGTACATAGCAAAATCTTGTCAAATTATTATCTTTCTACCAGAAATTCAAACCTTAACAATAAGTTATCCATCTTACCTTTTTAGAAAATATGGTCTGTAGAGAGAATCCAATTGTTGCACAAAGAGCACTAATCAGGCCGATGTAATCAAATGAGAGTTCGGTTAGAGTGGCTATTATAACTCCACCAATGATAGGAACTAGGGATAGATATACCTGCAAAAACATCATACATTTCGTTAGAGTGGCTATTATAACTCCACCAATGATAGGAACTAGGGATAGATATACCTGCAAAAACATCATACATTTCGTTAGAGTGGCTATTATAACTCCACCAATGATAGGAACTAGGGATAGATATACCTGCAAAAACATCATACATCTTGTTCAGGTAAGAACATTGTACCTATCAAATTAATCCTTATCATATTTGTTTTTTAATTCATACAATATGGTTTTCTTTACAGATACAATGCAGATACTTTGTGAATTTATTATTATGTGAATTCATTATATGCTTGATGACAAATTGGATATATAATAAACAGAGACAAGTTTGTGATCTTTTCATGAACCAATCAAAAATTAAAGATGATCTGATTTATCACCAGTGATTGGATCCCAATACACATACCCAACAAAAGGTAATTGAAAAAGAAAATTGTGTGAATGTCCTTTTAAAGTGGAATATGTTCTCTGTAAATCATTGACAATGATTTCCTATTTTTGATTTTTTTTTTTCAAAAATTATTTCAAAATATTAGGGAAGTTGCCTTCAGCTAAAGTAACCAATTTAAACAAGTTCAAATTCCATTCTGTTGTTACACTGAGCTTAACAGCTCATTTGTATACATATACAAATACTTGTTGACATTGCAGTGCTTAAAACCTGAACTATTCATAATACTGATGTTTTTTTCTCATAGCAAGTTTTTCATATTTTCCAGTCTGACATTACGATAAACTGGATAAACTAACACAAAATGAAATTTATCCTCAATATTGTGACGAGGATAACAAATTACAGATATATCTGTTCACTTGCCTACCATCCTCATTCAATACAAAAAAGCTATGTTGGGATGACTTCAATTTTGAGAATACAACACAGTTTTTCTTTAGTAAATAGTTGGTCCGATAGTTTTTTAAAACCACATCACTAATTAAATGTCTATGTAAGTAATCAATATTGACCTTCAACACTACATATACTTACAGGAAAAGTTTGTTTTTCTCCAAGGATAATTCTTGATAATAAAACTGTGAAAAATGGCAGAGTGGCTTTAACTGAAAAAGAAGAAACAAAAATTCTGTGCTAGAACTACTTAAATTTATTTTTAATTCAGTAATTTAGATTTCATTTTAAATATTTCTTTTCTTACCTCCATATTGATAAATATAGAGTGATACAAAAATCACGTGAAGATTTTGTTGAACCTTTCAGGTACAAAAACTTGTTTGTTGTTTACTCATGTTGTATATACAATAAATCAGATACTCCAGATTCATTTTCTTTACAAATAAATACTCTGAAACAGATCTTATCTTTGTAATGATGATCTCTTTATACTTCAAAGTCTCACATAAAGGAGCTAGAACACTATACAAGTATATCCTACATGTGAAATGTGACTGATTCTACAAATACATATGACAACTCCCTATTTTATGAGGTGAAAAAATCAGTCATTTGTAAATTTTAAATATGCATTAGCTGACACAGTTCTACAGTTCTGTATGACATGAATTTTTAACTGGGGGTAATAGTACTGATTCAAAGATCTGTTTTAGGCCCTAATGCAATTTAACTCAAAATATTAGAGAAATTTGCATGTAATGACCCAAAAGTCAATTAATTTCTGGAAATACATAAACTCTAACATGAAAATATGTATATAAATCCAATCATCGTCCTATCACTACTGTCTGTAATATGTTTTCCTACATCAGAACACTAAGAATAATAAGCACTTGGTTTCAGTATATGGAACCCTCTTAGTTTTACATGACCTTGCAATATTAAAGCATAATACATCATACATATATATTGAAAATTAATGGATATTTTCACAAATTTACATTCACATTTAGAATGATCAAAGGTACTAGAGAAAATAACATAAATTTTAGCAAAACAAAAATGACTTAATCACTGCAGCTGCATAGTAATTACACTAAATATGCTGAAGAGAAACACCTGTCATCAAGCCATTGTAACTTTTTTATTCTGCTGTTATTAGAAATGAACAAAATGAATTTGATTTACAAGTTTAAGTTGGCTTAACAACAAATATATTTTATCCATTAAATGTTGTTGAAGTAATTATGTATTTGTTGTTGTTGTTATGACACCTACTTTGACCACCTGAAATGAGTGTTCTCTCTGCAGTGTCACTCCTAGGAACAGTAAATGCCTATAGTGTGTGTGTTAGGATCACCAATACATTTAAAGTAAATTATTATATAAATATAAGAAATGATTTTTATTTTTTTCAACATTCGTGATGCTGTAACACTATTGACTTTCTGGACATATTCCAGGAATCTTTTAAATAGATACATATTAAATATTTGTATGTATGTATGTAAATGTATACAAAGACCTTGATGATATGTAAGTGTATGAAAATGATATTTCATACTCAATACACTGCATCTAGTATAAGGCCTTGTATACATGGAGCTACACGATAAAAGTAAAACAAACAAAAAAATGAAGAAAAAAAAAACAAAACAAAAAAACAAAAAACATCAGGATATCAATTCTGGCATTTCTCAGAGGATGATGGGGAAATAATAATAACTGATATAACAGTATATATTTCTTGTCCGACACAACACAGTTAATAAGATTCCTAAGAAACAAAAAACTGCCCAAAGTAGGGATAGAACTAAACACACAGCTACCCCTAAAGTTTCTGAGGTTTTAAAGTCCAATTCTCTACTATTGTGGTGACCTATTGTTGTTCTCAGATCAGAATCTTTCCAGGTGTCTTTACCTGAGCATTTGTACAGGTCATCCCAAAAGGACTTATAACAATCCAATGGAGGCGTGTATTACTGTACAGTCAGTATGTCTTTCATCTTTAATAAACATCAAATTAGTAGTACAACATATATTGATACATGTGTATGTAAGAATATCATTGTTAACACCACATAACAAAATTGTTATTTTGTCAAACTACATACAACATTGCATTTGTAAAAGAACAGGTAAAATACACATCCCTGTCAAGTGCCCAATCAGGAAATGAACTCAAGTCTCAAGTATGATAATTGATCAGCTTTATTGACTCGCTCTTTATACAAACTCATTCGCAAAAGCAGGATATGTAAGTTGAAACATGACAGAGACTATATTTAAAACCATATACAAACCAATATTACCCCCTTTTTTTAATTAGATTTCCTAAATCTCAAGGCAAGACACAAAATACCACAATGCAAAGGATTTTATTGGGTGCAAATATACAAAACAAGGAAAACACCACACAATCTTGTTGAGCGCCTTGACCAGGAATCGAACCCCGGTCTTGGGTATGATAATGAATCAGTCATGCCTTTAACAGAGTCAAAGAACCCTGATTGACAGCAACCATATTTAACCCTACATCCAAGTCACACGCCAACCTGCTCCTTTTACACAGCTGATGTGGAATAGTAATTAAGTATTTCATATGTAACCTGGATCCATAGGCACATTCATTTATTCATATACATAATAATTGATCTAAATGTTGATTACATATAGTACGTAACGTTTACCTGTATGAGCATAGGACACGGAAACTTTCCAAATACTGATATGTGAAGAAACGGACGCTAGAAATTTTCCCAGTGCCAGAGGTAATATCATAGTCCAATAGTAATAGCGTGGCACGGTACCAGTTTCAGGAACAGACATCATGCTTATGATCGGTTTTAAATACAAAGCTCCCGACAATAGCTGAACCATCGTCACTGTCATTGGGTAGGGAAACTCATTCAGTACAAGCTTCCCTACAATATTTCCACCTGAACTGGTGGTGTACCACAATAAACAAATCACGATCAATTTAAATGCGTCTTTCACGACTGTTTTATCCATTTTCGGAGTAACTTGTGTCTCTAAATAGCATCACCGCCACATCAACACGACATATGCCCCCATCACCAAAACACGCCTTTCACCTGTCAAGTGTACACGTTGTTGCCGACGATATATTTCATAGACTGACTGCGAGGTGAATATTAGAAGAAACATGATTGGTGTAAATCGAAAAATAAACAAAAGATAAAGATTTAAAAAAAAACAAATTTGTCCTAGCCGTGATAATTTAAGCTTTATATGTTTAAATTTGATAACAAAACACTCAATTGTTTTTAAATACTGTTATACTATTTCATTTTCTGCAACCCTACAATATGTCAGCTCCCATGTAGAGGAAGAATTGACAGCTATAGATTTGACGACCGGGATGAAAAGATGGGCTTTTCTGCAAGTTGTACTGATTTTTTCATCAGTTTTCATGGTCATTCAGTTGCTGATATGGGCAAAATTCTCGTCAAAAGAGGTATGTAAAGTTTGATTCCATTAAGAACTTTTATGAAAATTTGGACATCTCGTCCAAATAAAATATTATATCCGCATCTTGTCTGTTGGGCCGAGTTAGTATTGAATACATTGAGCAATACTTGTTATTAAAAACCGTTTGGAATTTTAATGATATGGAATAGGCACTGCCTAAAAGAAAGCACAAATTAATCAAGAATATGCATATTATGAACTGCTCATTTAATTTCATGGCTTCACTGAAGTGTATATTTTCATAATTTGTTTTATGTACCGATTTTTACATACACATTACATTCACGGTTTCATCACACAGTAAGACCAGTCTGGTACACTCCCATGAAGAGTGATTAATATTAGTATAAATCGAAATGAAATAAAAGAAATAGACACATTCCCATGTAGGCTGCCTATGTGTGACATCATCATTATCATCATCATCATCATCAGCAGCAGCAGCAGCAGCAGCATCCTTCTTTTAGATACCACTGTATCATCGTCATTAGGTGGTGGTGGGATGGTGCAGTGGTAATTCACTTGTCTTTTCCTCCCGTAGTAAGAGTGATTATATAATTGCATGTTGAAATAAATAAAGTTAATATATATATACATAACTCATGCACATACAACCAAACAATATGAAGGCAGACTAAGAAGAACACAACTAAACTGAAAAAAATATACAAAAAGGGAAGAGAGAGGAAGATAAAGGGCAACACACACGTAACAAATTAATTGTTCATTTGATTTGATTGATGTATTCTGTAACCACTAATATGAGCTTTTTTTTTTATTTCAACTGAAACTTGATGTTCTCTTTGTAATGATCATTGCCTCATCTTGACTTAAATATGATTAAAATCTCATAAAACTAGACCTTTAAAAAAAAAAACCTCAAAAAACCCCAACTGTATTCAAATTTCAAGAAGCCAACTCAGTGATGCTATGAATAATTATTTACCTTAAATAATTTGATTTAATACTGATTGGGATAATATTTCTATCAACAATGATTAATGAATGGTATGGTATCCATAGTATCCAGGAATAGAGAGTAGATATGTAAATAAACATTGCACAAGTTCAATTTTTGTTTTTTTTACCTGTGTGTGTTTACCTGTCGAACTGTAATGTGAAATAGGGTATGATTTTTCATAATTTTATATTTCCTGCAAAAATGAAGGCGTAGTTGTTATTATTCACAAGATGTCCTTCTTCCTCATGCCTAGGTGAATAACCTACAAGGTAAGCCATCCTATAACTGAGTGTTCTGATATGTATATTTTGTGGGTGATAACGAGGCTGGTGGACTTGTGACATCACCAGTAACCTGTCTTTTCATGTGCAGTATTAAGAGACTAATAGAGAAATTAGCGATAATTAGCTGGAATAATTATTTCATTTGTAGCCAGACCTGATTAAAGTGAGACCCATGTTAGTTGTTAACAGATTGATGCCATATGTTCCTTAGATGTTCTGAGATGAAGCCAGATCCTGATCAGATATTGTCCACACAACATGTATTACTTACAAGTCATTGTTGGTTTTTTTTTCAGATAGGCGAGCCAAATCCAAGTAGAGTTAAGGTAATTATAACCCAGTTTAATTTCAAAAACATGTACTTGGTTGATAATGTTTTTCATACATGCTTGATAAGCTAATGATGTAATTAAAGTGTTATTTTCAAAACTGTCAACATAATCATGTACATAGTTGGTATATTTTTTCAAATTTATAATTTGATGAAGGGAATTAGGATATTTTTCAGACAACCTCTTGACAGGTGCTTGACCTAGACATGGACAAAGAAATGTAACTTTTGAAATACTAACTTAAGTATACAGTGAAATATGTAAACATGTATAAGAATTTCACCATATACATTACTTACAAGTCTTCTATTTGATATCTTGGAGGAATAATCAACTATTACAAATATTAAAGCATATTTGCTCTCTACTTTTATAATTTTGTGTGATTTGTTTACAAGGATGTTTTATTAATTTGTAGGAAGTAATAAAATCATTCCTGAATGTCTGGGATAATAACCAGGCTAAAGTGTTCCTTATGGATCCAGACATTCTGATGGAATACATGGAGGACAAGTTACAAGGTCTTACATGTGGTAGCCTATGTCAGAGTCAGAAAAAACTCATCACGTTTGGCGTTATAGGAAACGTTCAGAGAAGTCTGGTAGATAGCGTTTATTATTTACAAAACAAATCACTTTAAATGATTTAAAATGCATGAGAAATTGCATTATGTGTTGTACAATTTCATTTTTCACTTGAAATGTTGCATAAAGTTTGAATTTGATATTGCGAGATAAAAAGCAAACACAACATGAACAAATAGACATGTATCCACAACATAGCATTGACTTGACAGACAAGAAACATGTTGCCTCTCCATTAATATGTGTATCGTACATAATTATATACTTGTGAGAGATATGAAAAATAGGATGCAACATGTAAGCAAAGATTAAACTATTTCAACAGAAAACTGTTAAACAAAGCATTCATGGGTATCTTCTGATGTCAGATTTTGAAAACATGGCCATAAAATTTTACCATTTGAGGGGAAAGGATTACATCATTAACAGTCTTGTTTGTAAGTTGTTCTTTATGATTTATTTGAAGTCTGTATAAGCTTTCGAATTGTAATTAAATAAAAATCCAATCTCCTGTTTTACTTTTTGTAGCATTTATTTCACTTGTGTATTGAACAAATTGCAAGTGAATTGCTTCCTATATAATTACAAAAAGTTTGTGTAGCAAAATTGAATTGTTGAGAATATAAGTAATGAACAGAAGTAGTAGTTTTGCTACACATGTTAACAAATTGTATTGCTTCTACAGAGACCTGTTTTCCACAAACTGCGAAGTTACAACTTTGCGGTAGTGGACTCCATTGATGAGTTTCCAGATAAAGTAGGTGACAATTCCATTCATGTCACATCACACGTGTTCCTCCAGGATATGAAGTATCCAGAACCAACCATACATGTGCTTGTCATGTATGAGCGTGCTGGTGAATTCTTGTGGCATTCCAAGATACAGGTCGCCTCCAGTGACCTCAAATTCGGATATGAAGCTGGCTCGTACAAAAAGTATGCACTGCTTTTGGCTTTAATTAATTTGTATAATTAATTTTCCTAGATTATTGATAACACGTTTTATTTACCTTCGTACAACTTGAACCCCCCCCCCCCACTCACATAACTGTCACCTGAAACCTGAAGTCTAATGGCATTGGTGAGATAGATATGATTTTTTGCAGAGTTTCACAAATCACAATTCCTCTGATATCCCAATCTCTTTGTTATATTCAAACAGGTTTGACCTCGAGTCAGCAGTGATAGATGGTATATCTTTATACATTCCAAAACCAGTGAACAAATTTCTGGATTCAGTGATGCAATCCAAATATATTGAATGTGATGGTATAAGGGCTGAAAGCTTCAAGAAAGCTTATCCTCCTGACAATTCAAAGAGAGCTAAACATTTTCAAAGAAAAGCTAGACAGCTGATTGCTCAAGGCAAAGATGTCTTTGATAAACTTGGATTGCGTTTCTGGATCAGTAGTGGCACACTCCTAGGTAAGTACAGACATATCTTTCTTTAAAACAATCAACCAATATGTATGTATAAAACCATTAGACTTTCTTCTGAAATATTCCTCACAAAGTCCAATAACTTTTATTTCTGTATTCTTATTATAAAAGATATAATAATAGAATTTCTGTTATAAAAAGCTATTTGTGTGGTTTTACCAGGATGGTATAGACAATGCGACATCATCACACATGCCCAAGATGTTGATTTTGGAATGTGGATCAAAGACTATGATCCACAACTTATTCCCGAAATGGAAAAGGCTGGACTTCCGCTCAAACACCTGTTTGGAAGGGTAGGTAGTCTGTCACTCCAGCAAGAACTGTTACTCAATTGCTTAATCCTGATGCAGGTGTCCTATGGTAATCAGCTTGTCCATCGGTTAGTCAATCTTTCTGTCTGTCAGTTTTGCTGTCCGCAGAATAACTTATATATTTGTTGTTGGATACATGCCAAATTTGGTATGTGTTTTTATGCTGATGAGACCTTGTATTGGTGTGATAACCAGTGAAGTTTGTCAATATTTGCAAGAGTTATGGGACTTTGAATGATGGAAACTTAGCATTTTATTACTTTCCCTTAATAACTTGTGTATTTGTAGTCCACTGTCTCCAAATTTGGTATATGGCTCATATTGTATGGGCTCACTAATCAGTGAAATGCATGAAAATTTGCATGAGTTGTATGACTATGGATATTGAAAATTGACCATTATCAACAGTTATGGCCATATTGAATGTAATTACAATTGGACTTTGTGAACTTGATAACTTGATTAAGTATAAACTGATAACTTGAGTAAATATGAACTTATTTTAATGAACTTTGGCATGCAGCCTTATGTCAATAAGATGTTGAATGAGTTTGACAAAATAAATGAATCTATCATATTTTACCTACTTTAGTTATGACCTTGTGTAGATTTACTACCATGAAACTCGTGAAGACAATAATTTGAGGAAATATGAACAAATTCAATGAAACTTGGAATGCAGCCATGTATTAATACGATCTCAGATGGGTCTATTAATGAGATCAATTCAATAGTAATTTGCAGAGTTATGGCCCTTTGCAGTTTTATTTCCATAGACTTTGTGAACATGAGAACTGAATAAATATGAACAAATTTTGATGATTATATTAATTGAATCTCAGATCAGTTCAGCAATAGGACTGATTTGATGTCACTTATAGGGTCTTTGTAGTTTAAATTTGAGTGAAATTACCATGCCAGGTGACGGTTTAGACCCATTTGTCTCTTGTTCTTATTGATGGTTATTCATAGCTCTTTTAATGTGTGAATATTTTTTAAGATGATTTGAGACCTATTGTAATTGTCTTTTGTCCAACATTGCACATGATGCATCTGTAAAATTTCAGACATTTTTGGCTACCCAAAATCCTTGAACCTATTTTAAGGAAATTTTGCAGAAATCTACCATGACCAAAGATGAACAAACAATAGTGAACTATATGGTCCCCATTCCCCAGGGGCCTGAGAGGTGGGCCAAAAGTGTTCATATTGATTCAAATTTCAAAAAATTTCTCTACGCCTAGATATTGTGGAATCAAATGACCTTTACAGGTGGAAGTATCTTAAGGTCTACCACAATTGTGAATTTCATGGCGCCAGGTTTCAAACTTGTTTAGAGTTATGAGCCAAGGATGATGGCTTGTTAGTATGTACAAAATGACCCTCCATGGTTGATGGATGGGGCCAGAAGTGGTTAATTTCACTCAAATTTCTAAAATCTTCTTCTCAACACCTAGATACGGTTGCATCAAATGCTCTTCATGGATGGAGTGTTCTTATGGTGCTTCACAAAATTGTAAATTTCATGACCCCAGGTTTTCACTTTTCTCCTTTGGGAGGAAGTGAGAACATTTTTGGGCATAAGTTGTTTAATTACTGTTGGAAATAGTTGAAATTTAGTTAAAATTACTAATAAATGATTAGGATGATGGTTTGATGGTATGCACATGTTGATCCAGTGCTTTACCTAAATTGTTTAGTTGTTTATTTTTAATTAGAAATGACTTGGTAAGAATTATTAGAAGGTATGCATGTATTGACACTGGCTGTCCCCCCAAGGGCTCAAAAAGTATCACTAATGTCTTACTATCGTCAACGTCACAATTTTTTTATTGTGGTACTTGAAAGCTGTACTTATCTATAACCGTTATATTCAATGTTGCTTACCACAGGTGACTGTCACAGCTGCTAGGCATCTTGATTTTTAACACTTTATTTCTACATGAATTGAAGGAGCATTTACTTTTTCAGAAAAATAAATCATGCAAAATGTAATGATTTTATTGGAATGGTTTTGGGCTATGACTGGCTATAGGATACTAGTGATTGACAAAATAATGAGGTATTAATGTACTCTCTAAGCATCACATATAATTTGGTTAATGCTATGTTGTCTGTAAATTCAGATTTTTTTCCACTCTTGAGCAGTAAACAACCTAGTAACAGTGTATAGTATCAAAAATAGATTAAGTGGTTTTTATTTGATGTGAGTTACACTATATATCTGGATAAAAAAAATTACCTGTAATAGATATAAGACTTACAATTGTCGTGATAAACACCTACTGATTCTTTGACAAGATTTATAGAAAATGTATTCTGAAAGAAATGGATATCGGATGATTGTATATTTAGCTTGTGACTGTTCCTTGTTCGGTTATTACCGGGTATTTCTATTGTCTGGAAAGTCCTTAGTTTTCTTTATTCACATTGAGATTCTGATTAAACTACTGTTTGGTTTTGCTTTTTCAGGTCAATGACACATTTGAATTATCATTTCAAGCTGGCGATATAAAGTTGGACATTTTCTTTTTCTACGAAGAGTTGGATCACATGTGGAATGGTGGGACAGATGTGAAAAATGGAGCAAAGTTGAAGTGAGTGTTAAAGAGCTGTTAAGCTGAGTTACCTTAGAGATTATCAGTCACCATTGCTATATATTTCTGTAGCTTCCATCGTCAGTACAGTTAATACTGCCTTATATAGACCACCCGTTTATATATACCTTTATTTTGCTACCAAACTTGTCTTTGAGACAACTATTTTAGATGTATATTGTGATTATCTATGATAAACAAGCAATGCTAACAACAGTACATTTAAGTGAACAACATACTTTTCAAATGTATATGAAACAAAGATTCCTCACAGTACATTTTACAATGATAGATTTAATGCTTTATCATTCTTTACATCTCTGAAAATAGATTTTTATCCTTTGTTAGGTATGTTTTTCCCAAGTTCAGTCTTTGTTGGACAACCCTGCTTGATCTGCTTGTTCGTGTTCCATGTCCAACATTGCCCTACATAGAGGCCAACTATGGCAAGGGATGGTTCACTCCAGTGAAGGATTGGAACTGGAAAGATAGCCCCACCAACGTACAGAAAAATGGCTTCTGGCCCCAGGATCAATGGGAGAGTGTTATGCAGATGTATGAGTGATTATCTGTAAGTTTGGTGTGGGAGTTATATAACCCATTTTTGCCAGATGCCTGAAAGATTCTTACTTATGTGTTTTTAGACAGACCAATTTCATTGTCTGCCCCATGGGCTTACACTGAAATCTGACTGTTGATAGGTTTTGCTGTACAGTGATGTTCTGAGTGTGATATGTTGATTGGGTCACTGATGTATTACCTCCCTATATTTGTTATTTGCTTTTTCAAAAAGTGCTAATATTCTGTGTAAAAAAAAGCTTAAGATATTTTTTTGCTTGATTTTCTTTGTCGAATATTGAGAAAATGAATCACATTATGTTCACAGTAATATCGGAATTCATTGTTCAACCAATGAGCATAAAACATCTAAATGAGGTTCCTGTCTTGTTCGTGTCACTGTCTAAGGCCGCTTTCACATTAGCGCTATAAAGGTTGGACAAGCTGAACCTGAAATAGAAATGCCAGGTACAGATCAGGACTGAGGCTGGCCTGTGTAATATTCAGCTTGTGCAGTATTTGGAGTAAAGTTTTACCTGTCTGAAATATAACTAGCTGAATATCATTAATTTTCACAGTGTCAGCACAGAGTAGAATTTGGTACATGCAAATAGTTTCAGAAATGTCATGCTATTAAGTATGAGTTAAAATGGATGATATTTTATGTTTGGTTCATTGTTTTATGTTTGACTGAACATTTCAAAATTGCGTTTTAAGCTTTACATATATCTGTTCCAACATCCAATTCAGGTGCATTAATTTATTGTGGAATATTTCCAGGCAGCCTGAACTTTTTCAACCGGGTTACACAAAACCGGCCTTATACAACTTTTTCACTGCCGTCCTTCCCCAAAATATGAACAAGAATACAGATACAAGCTCTTTTGATAAGAATTACCCAGTGATATGATTTTTAAAAATGTGATTATTTTTGTACATGGAAGTGTTATATTCCAAAATATATGAAGTAAGCAAACCCAATGTAATTTTGTCTATAGAGGATAAATATTTCTGTCTGTCATTGAGGACTATAAATTCATATGTAGTTTATTAATTGTATATAAAAAGTTCAGAAACTTATACTTAGAGTTTAGATATTGATGTGTGTAGAAACATTTCCAGACATTTCTATATGAATTTTGTCACCAGTTATTTAGTGAATTTCATCTTTGTTACCTAGGAAAAGTCATACCCTGCTAGTTAACCTAGATTTAATCACAAACGTGTACCAAGGTATTCTTATTAGTTTTGTTGTGTGAGATAAAAAATGTTGGTGTAAATGATATCAATGTGATTGCTAACATTTAAAGTGTAAGAGTAGAAGGTTTGTAAATGGGTAGTCCCTTTAATTAAATGTCTCTTTTTGGATCTTTTTTATCATCCTCAGGGTCAAAAATCTCTGCAATGCAATCTTGTACAGCAAAAAAGGTCTTAGAATTGAGTCAGGGTTATCATTTTCAAGGAATAATTTGAAACGATCCTATGGGTTGGGACTCTGTCAAACATCATCAATGAGTAAATGTTGAAAAGAAATCATTTATGAACTGATAAATTTAACTAGTACATGAGATTAATATAAAGTGTAGTTCTACTATGTGGAAGGAAATTTTCTGTCTCTTCCTTGATAAAGAGTCCTAATGAAAAAACGCTTCAAAAGGAGTGCTTTCATGAGAGTTTTCATAATTTTAAATTTAAAAAGAAATTAGCTGTTTGATTGTAGAATACAAAATCATAGCTAACATATTTACACATCATTTGTGTTTCTGACATAAATAATTCTGTCAGGATTTAGCATAATCATGTTTTCTCTGCTGATACTTGGCTGATTATGCATATGTATCATCACACTCTATTTTGCTTGAGTGGTGTCCTTATTATGATGGGTATGAAGTCATAAAGATTTTAATAACACACCTGTATCATCTAACTACCATACATATCAGATCAGCGTAGTGATGGATTATGTTCTATAGATTTTTTGCATTATTTGCACCTTTCCTGCATGCACGAGTGTGTTTAATTTGAGAACATTTTCCATCTTACATTGATTTTAATAGACAACTGATGGAAATAAAACGGGAAAAACAAACCAAAGCAATGGAGTTCAACAGTTAAAAACATAATTGACAAAATCATATTTCTTTTCGTAGGTGTTTCAAAATGTTTTTTACAAGAATCAGAGGCTTGAATCAATACTGATATCAAGAGTTTGATTCCCAAAGAGGATATGAAAAGGTATGGTGGTCACCTGTCTAACCACATGATTCCCTAGTTTCATGTGCTTTCATCCAGCCCAACAAGTGTGATTAATGTATGTAAGCTTAAGCTTGTTTTGCAATTGTTTATATTCATTCATTCAAATAGGAATATAGGTACAGAACTTAAAGAAAAACTCCAAGATCTGCTGACCTTTGTTCCTTTTGTTGGTATGTTCACCATTTCTATTTCGGCATTATAGTTTTATATATACTGTAGTTTTCATTTAATTGTCATCTTGATTAATAAGTGGTCTGGCACACCATTGGTCTGGCAATAGTTGAAAGTCTGTTAGACCAGTATAAAATATTGTTTTTGTTTCTTGTTTTAATACTAAACAAATGTTTAAGAATTTTATTGTTTTCATTTGTGGTGCTAGCATATAATGTGTAGTTTTAGACAAAGATATTATAGAAATAATTTATAGGTATATAATGGAATATTTTGTTATTGATGACATGCAATCAAATTGTTTTTCTGGGAAAAAAATTCATGTATAATACATTTTATATATTCGTTTTTTTGTTAGAAAAATTAAGAATTTAAAAGGTATACATCAACATATCTTGCCGTTTTATTTCATGTCTTAAAATACATATTTCCAAACCATTTATTTGCCCTGATTAGGTCTCAGTTGTCTATTGATCATCATCTGGCATTCATTGTTCATCAGCTTTTCCCTTTAAACAACTTTCTCAATAACCAACGGACCAAACGTTTTGATATTTGACCGGTATGTTCCTAGGACAAAGCCCAACAAAGTTTGCAAAACGAAATGACTTTGACTTATATTCATCATCAGAGGGGTTAGATTTATTCAAGCGTTTAAATGTCTTCTTCTCATGTACTAAAAGGCCTAAAGGCATGATAATTGGCAGGTATGTTCCTATGATAAAGTTTGACAAAGTATGCGAAAAGAAATAACCTTAACTTATATTCAAGGTCACAGAGGTCAAATTTGTTAAAACATTTTAACACCTTCCTCTCACTAACAATAAGGAATAGTATGATATTCACCTGATTGGTTCCAAGAATGAAGCCAAATGAGGTTTGCCAAAAATAATGACCTTGACCGTTATTCAAGGTCAAGGTCGTCAAACTAGTTAATATGTTAACAATATTTGTTTTGTCCTACCAAAAGGTGCAGAACTTCTTCTGTCTTACCAAAAGGTGCAGAAGCATTGTATTTGGCTGATAGGTTCCTAGGACGATGATTGAAAACGGGTGTGAAAAGAAATGACCTAGACCCATTTTCAAGGTCAATGGGATAAAAATTTTAAGTTTTTTTTTTTTTCTGTAAAAGATTTCTTCTGACAAACCAAAAGTTTGAGAAGCATGATTTCTGGTGGAATGGTGTTTATAGGTCAAAGCCCAACAAATTTAAGATTAAAAAATGGCATTTACTTATAATTCAGGTCATAACTGTCACCGTTTAGAGGGATTAGTATTAGAAGCTCTATGTTATGAAAATTGGGAAAAAATTGGTTGAGTGTGCCGACTTTGAATGTTAATGGTGTATTTGTCAATGTATATGTGATATTAAAACTGATTCAACTTTTGTTGAACATTGAATACCACGGGCGCTTTCGCGTAAGCAGTTGAAAGAGTTAGACCGATTGAACCTGCAAGAAAAACGCCAGATACAGATCGGGACCGAGGGATGCGGAATATTTGGCACGTGCTGTTCGAGAGGTTCAGCCGAACCTGTCCCAAACTAATTTGCTGAATATTATTAGTTTTCAGAATTTGAGCATAAAAAGTAGGGTCGGTGCAATCACGTATTTCTGGGAGCAAAGGTATAAGTGCAATAGATGATATCTTAATTTTAGTTAATTGATAAAAGCTTTACGGGAAATTCTGAAACTGTGCTTTTGGAGCTTTACATATATCAGGTCCAACATCCGGTACAAGTGCGTTTGTGTAGAGTTGAATAATTCCAAACCAATTGAACCGTTTCAACCGGGTTACGTGAATGCAGCCCAGGTGAGAGATGCAAGACCATTGGGCCTCTTTTAAAACATAAAGTTCATTTCAGACTCAGGTAACTGATAATCATATGTTTGTTGAAACATCTTGATGTACCATATTCACAAAAATGATCACAGCCACGAGCATCAAGAAACTTATACAAAACATCCCAATAATCAAATACAGGTAAAGCTGACATATCTCTCATTGACTGTGAGAGGATTTTAATGGGGAAGGGGTGATTCAGAATACTTTTATCCTAGAACATCGGTGTGATTGCTGGTAATTCTTAAACAAGAGGATACAACAGGTGATCATGATCTGAAAAGAACTAAATAGCTAATGAAATTTGAAGTCCTTGCACTTGTAGGTACATTGTCATGATTCCTTGCCAGGAAATGGCAGCAATTTTGGTCTTAGACACAGCTTATACTATCTGTTGATACAATCATGACACCTTTATACACAAAGGATATTCCTTAATACTTTTTTGATTAATAACATTAATTGGGCCGGAATTTTGATATGCACAGTGGTGAAAGATGTGAAAGTTTCAATCCCTTCAGGTGGTATAAAACCTTTATTTATCAGAAAACAAAGAATATTGTATTTATTTTTTTCTCACATTTCTTCAATGCCAGTTTGCCATTCTGTTCATTTGAGTTCTTTTTTTATCATCAATCCTCATGTCTTCAAATAATATGAGTACTACACGGAAAACTTTAATCATGAAACTCAGCTTAGCCAATATCAATATATTGAAATAACATGTTTTTTCACTCAATGAAAATATTGAAAATATCACCTATATAATCATTGTAATACTTGGTATATTGCGTTTGTTCTGCTGCCGTTTGCACTGGTCGTTCCCCAACACTTCATATTTATATGTGCCCATTGATGTTTCCTTTCATTGTTATTGAAAATATAAAATGCAATATTATGATATTGTATCTAATGATCATTCCACTTTTATATGATTTGTAATAAAATTGCATTAAATTCAAGACCGTGGTTTATTATTGTTTACGTTGCGGTATCACTACAAAACATGTATATACGTTGTTGTGTATTTCATTACAGTAACGACAACTGATGTTGCACTTTACACATTGTACTAAATTAACTTTTGTAAAAAAAAAAATAACAAAATGTAGCATCTTACCAGGTATGAATTTCACAGTGTTTATTGGTAATAGGACGTGAGAGAAAATAATACAAAAATATGGTATTCAAAAAGCATATTTTATGATTGCAGAAAGTTTCCATAAAATACATCTTCGTATCGTTTGAAATTCCCTGATAATTTTTTTTACAGAAATTGAAAGTAAAACCCTTTATCTGTTTCTTGTTTTATTGGAAAATGTCTGACAATGCTGATATAGATAAAAAAAAAAAAAAAAAGCGTAATGAGACATCATGATCTTGTAACGATTTCTTTCTCCTTATTTGATAACTACACATAACTCTACGCCTGAAATACTGTAAGGGTAACCTGGATCAATTATCTATTTCCATATGTCTGATACTCGTTCTACGGTGACTGGGAATGGACATCACAAAAATACACCATGTCCATGTACCTGTATGTATATACAATAATGTATTGTTGCGTGGGAACGCAATATCACTGCGTTTTCGTTCCCGTGCATGGTCAACAATTTCCGTTTTTTAATTGATCATATTTTGTCAAACGATATGTTAACCTTTCAGTTCTCTCTAAATGGTTATAGTATCCTTCACCACCTAACCATCGATAGCAATACTACGTCGATAAATTCCAACCAATCAGATACATACGAAACATTGAATTGATTTGAACATATTTTACTGCATCAATTATATACAAAGAGATTGGGCACGAGTTATCAAAATACATCAACAAGATGGGCATTTGTACATAATAATATATATGAATAGAGAGAGAGACGGGCAGACAGAGATTACAAATACATATATACATGTCAATATTGTGTAATTAATATATAGATAAAGTGATCAGTCAGGCACCAATAATTTTTCTTTTCTAACAGATATCCACCAATACAACCTCAAATTAATTCACATGAAATGACAGAAATGTGCTTTGGTAAAACGCAACCAATGCGGCTTTTTATAAAGCCTATTTCAATGTAAGGAAGGGTAGGAAAGGTAAATGTATTGCGTTTCCCCTTGGCTAAGTACTTTTACACAGAATGTTTTATGCGTAAAATGTATATGTCAGTCCCAAGGCAAGGTAGAAATTGTCCAAAGTGGTAACTTAGCTGAAATGTATTTATCAAATAGATTAAATAAAGATACCGTTTACTACAGACCTCTTTGATAATAGATCTTTGTCCATTAGATATCGTTAAAAGGTTTTGTAGCAACTGACTTTTTGAACAGTGGCAGACGGTTACCGTAAAAGTACTTAATTTAGAACATTTTGACGCGTTATCACCATTTGGCAAATTAGCAAATGCGATGATGATTTTGCGTACCGACATTAATTGTTTTGTAAACGAAAATTATCGCAACCATACAGTACATTTTTTTTTGAGCGCAGAAATGTATACGTTTACAGAATTCTAAAATGACAACTGAAATTTATTTATCTATAAAACTGACAAAACATAGCGAAATGGATAAAGCCTCTTTTTCAAGAAAAAAGGGGTTTAGTGCCTCTGAGCGTCTTTATCACTATCTCGGGGTTGCGGGTTCGAGGCCTACGCATGACAGGCGCCAGGTAATGTTAGTTTTTCTGCGGTAGCTCCGTCTTTCCTCCACCTCCCACTCAAGCTTATCAACTAATGACATAGGGAAACGAAGGACAGTAATCTGGAAGATCAAAATACAACCATCCAAACCGGGTACGTCCATCAATGACCCTGATGGTTGATAGGAAGTAAATCAATTATTAAATGTAACCAAGCATAGTATGGATTTGCTTAATTCCCAAACTATTGAGTCACTGAATTTTCCATTACTATACTCTCAATGGTTTTAACAAGGCAAATAGGATCACCTGAAAGTCACTGGATTATCTGAGATAAAGCGGTATTTTTCAATATTGATAAGCATACCTTGTATTATGGTCAGTTTTAGCCATGCAGCAGGGATGTATGATGGAGCGGAAGCAACAATGAATGGTTGTATGCCTTAGTATCACTGATGCGTTTCAGGAGGAGGAAACATCTGTATGGTGGAGAGTAATTCAAAATCTTATATATGTATAGGTAAAGAGAATAATACATCCATATTCACGTGGTCTATATTAAAGTAACATTCTCCATATAATACGGGGCGTTTTGTAGGTTAGATAGTGTAACAATAATGCTTTTTAGTTTCTGTCGTCGCTTTGCCAGGGGACAAAAATTTTGCATACATATGGGCCATTACTTATTTCTTAACGATGTTCACTCGTGTTTGGATAAAGTTTTTGAGACGGAATACTAAACTGTTAAAAATTCCAGTAACTATGAGGAAAAAAATGCTATTCCTATTGTACATTGCGATAATTGGATTAT